GTAATTTTATTTTTTCAAGGCTTACTTCTAAGTTTTGTTAGGTGAGACCAGAGAAGACTCGGTTCTGGGGCTAATTTTTCCTCAGTATTGATGTAATATTTTTTTGAGTATTCTATCTAGTGCCCTCTGTATTACAAGGTTTTCCATTTGGCTGGAGAGGAACACGAACTGTTTCTAGCTCAGTTTAAACAACAGTGATTGTTTCACCTCCCCTTTTCAGTTGATTCTTTCCCTATCTCAAGGTTGTTTCCTCATCTTACTTAGCTGAAAACTCAAGGAGAACCCTTTACGGAATAATGGGGTTCTCTCTGTGCATCTCTCTGCTCAGAAATTCTAACTGCCTTGAATTCACAGCTCTGTCTCTTCAATTCCAGGAGACCACCAGGCTCTGTTTGGGTTTCTCTTCCTGCGCTGCAGCCTAGAAGCTCCAGGCAGTGGCTAGGGCAATCGTAAAGCTCACCTCATTTGTTTTTCTTCTTTGAGATTACTGTGGTGAGTTGCCTGTTGTTCAGTGTCTGAGATCTGTTTCATTTATATTGTCCAGTTTTCAATTGTTTAACACAGGAAAAGGATAAATCTGATCCCTGGTACTTAGCCATGGCCAGAAGTGGAAGCCTTACATATATACTATGTATATGCCTTTCTTTTTCATGCTTTTCTTTTTCCTGGCATAGAATGCTTTTCCTTCTTTGACTCATTTTTTAGCACCTATTAAGTCTTCAGATTTCAACTTGGATGAACCTTATTTGTGAAGCTTTCCATGACCTCCGCTGATAGAGATAATCACTTCCTTTTCAAAGGTTCCCTTAGTTTCTGGTACTTCCGTATGTAGTACCTAATAATGGATGATTTATCTCTCCCAATAACATATCACAGGCATCCTGCTAGGTATTTTATATATTTTCTCTTACTTAATTTAATCCTTATAGTGCCTCACATGAGGTTATTGCTGTCATAATCACCACACAGTGCCAGTGCCTGGCTTGAAATAGTGATTTTATTAAATTAATGCATGAAGATAATTAAGTACATCCAGAAGAAAGTGAGCAGAGTGTTCAGGGGGACTCAAAATAATGTCATGTTTGGAATTGTTTAAGGAACTGGAGATGTTTAGCCTGGAGAAAGAAGACTCTGGAACCTAAATACCCTCTTCAAATGTTTGGAGGGCTGTCACATCGAAGAGGGATTAGGCGAGTTCCCTATAGCCCCAAGGAGGTAAAATTAGGACTAGTGGTGAAAACTACAGGGAGATGTTGTACCTTCATAAAAGGAGGAATCTTTGATAAATAGGGCTCTCTAAAAGTAGAGTAGATAGCTCTGGAAATTTCTTTTTTCACTAGATACATTCACTGAAATGTTGCCTGTCCACTTAATACAGTCAGCTGTAATACAACAGTGCTGGGCTTGAAGTTACACGCTCAGCTCTTTAAATCCCATCTCATAGGATTTAAGTGTCAGTTGCAGAGTACCTGACATTGCCTAGCACAAAGTAGGTGCTTACTTAGTACCCTTACCCTTGGTGGCCAAAGATTGAAAAGGTAGGTAATTTAGGTAACTGTTGAGAATCTGTCTGAGATTATATGATTCTTTGGAAAACCTTGGTTCATAATCTTAATTTTATTCTTTTGTCTGGATGTTCTTTGTCATTTATAGCCACATTTATGTCATGGCTATTTATTATTTGCCAAAGTAATCTTAAAAATAATTGATGAAGACAAGTCTGAGATGAAAAACATACTTTTAATGTAGTTCTTGTGACTGTGAATATAGTAAAAAGAATTCAAGTCCTCTGATTCGTGGAGCATAAAAGTGTTGTTCTTGTTCCTGTGTGCAAGTTCATTTCTTTCATTAATTTAGCAAGTTTTTGTGTGTCTGTTATGTGCCAGTTGTGCCAGGCCCTGTTAGTCATAGGGGATATAGTAGTAAATAAAGCAGGCCCTGCCTTAAGGAATTTACAATCTCCTAGGAAAAATAGACAAATAGTGAAAATATACTATGGTAAGTATTACAGTAGATTGAATGTTGAGTGTTATGGATGCACATAAAAGATGATGCAGCACTGTCTTGAGAAAGGTTAGGGGTATTGAGAGAAGCATCATGGGTGAAAGTAATGTATAATTTGAGACCTTTGGACAAGTAGGAGTTATTCAGGCTTGAAATGCTGAGGGAGAGGAACTGAAAACCTTTACTATACTTGGAACATGGAGTTTGATGATAGAGTGACCAAAGATGAGGCTAGAGAGCCAGGGAGAGACTGCATTTTAAATGGCTTTGTGACTAATACTGGAGTCTAGATTATCATAAGGGACATAGGAAACCACTGGAGTTTTTAAAGCAGGAAAATGATTTGACCAGATTTATATTCAGAAAAGTCATCCCATCTCTCTTAGTAGGAAGTTAATAGGTACAAATTTATTTCTCGAAAAGTCAAGAAATAAATGTACAGACATCTTATTGAGAAATAAGACAGTAAATATTAGAAGAAATAACTAAGAAAATTGAAGGTGGTTGTTCTTAGGGTTTAGGAATCAGGGGTAGGGAACTGATTTTTTGTCTTCCTGTAAAAGCCTTGTAGAATGATTTGACTTTCTTAATGTGCATGTAGTGTAGCATAGTGGTTAAGGGTATGGATGCTAAGGCCAGACTGGCTGGGTTGAATCTTGCCTCCACTATTCATAAGTTAATTATTTTCTCTGTGCTTACGTTTTCCTTTCTGCAAAAATGGGAATAATAATTGAGCTTATAGAATTTTTGTGAAGATTAAGTGAGTTAATACAAATAAAACACACAAAAAATGTGTGGTACATAATGAACACTGAGTGTTAGCTGTCATTCTTACATGTCAGCACTGTTCAGGTTCTGACATGTAAGAAGAATAGACAAACAGAATCATAGCGAAGCATTTTTTAAATGTTGCTTTTAGTAATCAAGAGAAGAAGCAAACAGTAAAATCAGAATGGGTCTAGATTTCATTGACATGATTATTAAGTGTAATCCAATGCTCATATAAAGAATGTTGTATCTAACAACTGTAGAGTACACATTCTTTTCAAGAATACGTGGAAGATTTGTAAAATTGACCAAAATCTTGACTAATATTAAAGAGTACAATTATATAGATTGTGATGTCTGTTCACAATGCATTTAAGCTAGAAGTCAACACAAAAGATAATTATGAAGTTCCTCATACAATTAGAAATTTTAAAGTATACTTCAGATTAGCCCATAAGTTAAGAAAATCATAATTAAAATTGAAAAATAATAATCTAAAGCACTATGAGATGCTGTTTAAGATTAGTTAAAGTTTTACATGTGTATTTTAGAAAAGAAAACATAAAAATTAAGGAATTTTTTATTTCAGGAAACTAGGGGAACAAATAGAAGAGGAAAACTATTAGCATAGGAAACATTTCAAAAGCCAAATTCACAGGCACTAGCCAAGGACTAGCGCCAAACGCAAGCTAAAGATCAGCCCTACTGTGTTAACTTTTTCTCACATGTTAAGGATGTGAAACTATGGGGACTTTGATATACTGCTAGGTGGAGAGTAAATCAGTACATCTACTTTGGAAAACAGCTTGGCGTTATCTAATAGTTAACCCTGCCTTTCCTCTCCTAGATATATACACTGTAGAAACAACTTCATGTGTACCATGAGACATATGTAAGAATGCTCGTAAGTCTCATTATTGATAACTGTCCAAAACTGTAGAATAGCTAAATTATGGTATATTATCACAGTAGATTAGTATAATACAACAGAAATGAAAATTAATAAACAGCTATATGCATTGATATGAATAATCTTGTAAGTATAGTTTCATTCAGAAGAAACAAGACACAGAAGACGTTCGAAATAATCCCATTTATATAAAGTTCCAAAACTGATAAAACTTAAATATGTTGTTTAAGGGTACACAAGTAAGGATTGGAAGTGTATATAATACACTGTTCATACCATAGTAGATGTCAATAAATATTTCATAAATACATGAATCAATTTTATCTCTGAAGCAGAAATGGTGAATACCAATTTAAAAAGAAAAGTGTAGGTTTTATTATATATTATAGGGAATAAGGAAGGAAATAAGATGGCTTGTGTTTATAAAGTTTCTTTTTACTAAACAAGAGAGCCCTTTTTAGGCTTTTATATTGAGTATCAGTAGTTGAAATATGGAAATTAAATAAGCATCTAGGTATTAAACAAACATGCATTAAGCCAGCATGTGTATATGTGCATGTGTTTGTGTTCCGAAAGAAATACTTTTGCAACCTTAGGGTTTCTAGAATTATTAATTTATACTAAGCTCATCTTTCAAATGATTCTCATAAGAATCCATTGGAAAGTTCACATCTTCAAAAAGTAGTCTAATATCAAGTTTATCACTGTTCTTTCAAATAAACTCTTGCTATTGACTTAATTACTGTATCTGACTTTTTTTTAAATTGCTAATGTGTATTTTTTGAAATTCCCATCCTGATACTACTTTGTGGCTGTTAAAATGGATGACCTAACAAGGTCCTTTACATAATTTAACAGCTTTTATATTTAAAATAATGTTTGAAAATGCTTAATTTTAAGTCATCTAAACTCCAATGAAGGAACAAATTTTTGCCTGAGAAATCCTTTTCACAGTGAAAGGCTTCAAGTGGAGGCTGCAAACTCAAATGTCTGTAGCGGCCACTGAGGTAATAAATGAGAGGAGCAGAATGGGAACTGGGGCAAGTCTAGAGCACATAGGCCTCCCTCTAAACAAGGCAACTCCTACCCAATTCTGTTTGTAGCCGTGAGGGAATGTGGTGTGTGATGACAGATTTTCTAATTTTTCAAGGTATTTCATAGATTTGGCTATTAATTCAGACATTTTAAACACTATGCAGTTAATCCAAAACAGGTCTGTGGGCAGGATCTAGTCGCTAGGTTATTAGTTTGCAAGTAATTTTAAAAGGTTATATAATTTTGGTGAAATAATTTTTTTTTCATTGTATTTTACATGTAGTCGACAGAGATACGTTCTTGGAGATACAGCAATGCAGAAGATGGCCAAGTCCCATGTTTTCTTAAGTGGTATGGGTGGTCTTGGTTTGGAAATTGGTAAGCAGTATTTTTATTCATAATTTTATATGACACTTTTGAGCAAGCAAATTTTTAAAGAATTTAACTCCTTTCTCTTGTATTATTTTCTATAAAGGAAATTAGATCCACAATTTTGATCAGATTCAGTTTTGATTTTTTTTTTTTTTGGCAAGATTATTTCATTATACTATTACATTCTTCCACAAGGAACCAGTAATGACTCTTGCTTCTATTTTTGTGATGTTAATAGCTATTTAATGATCTTCCTCTGTATCTATTAATTCATTATGATAGACACACACATATTCATAACAGCATGTCTGGAAGCATACATACACTAAAGTTTTGAGTGATTATCTCAGTGTGGTTTGATTATGAAAATTTTATTGTTTGCTTCTTGTTCATTTGTATTTTCTAAAGAACCTATTTCATAAGTAGTAAAAAAGTTAAAATTATTCGGTCAGAGATGTGACCAAGATCCACAAAGGTATCTAATGTACAACACAATTACTAATACTAAGCTACTCCTTTTTTTTTTCCCTTTATAGCAAAGAATCTTGTTCTTGCAGGGATTAAGGTAAGTGAGTAAATGTCCTTGGTAAGAAGAATTGTCTGTTGTGAACTCTTTTTTTCTCTTCAATAATAGTAATGTTATTTTACACTTTGGCCTAACTATTGCTTCTTCATTAGTAGCTAAATTGTTTTAATGCTGTACTTTCCTCTTTAAAAAAAAACTTTTTATTATAGAAAATCTCAAAATTATACAGAAAAAGAATAGTTTTAGTGAAACCCCATGTACCCATCATGCAGCTGCAATTATCTGCTCATGGGCAAATTTGTTTCATGTATCTCCTTCCCATTCACCATTGACCCCTAACTGCCAAATTATTTTGATGTAAATCTCAGACATCCTGTTATATCATTAAGTATTTTAGTATATACCTCTAAAAGGTAAAGGTACCTTTTAAAAACATAACCACATTATCATTTTCACATCTAAAAATGTAAGCATTTCTTCATTGTTATCCTTAGAAGTTAGGTATCTATTACTGCAAAACAAACTACCCCAAAACTTAGAAACTTAAACAACAGCACTTAGCAACTTAAACAACAGTTTCTTTGGGTCAGGAATCAGGTACAACTTAGCTTATGCCTCTTTTTGAAGGTCTCTCTCAAAGCTCTAGTCAAGATATTGACAGAGTCTGCAGTCATCTTGAGAGTAGGAGAAGGATCTGCTTCCCCAGCTGGCTTATGTGGTTATTGACATGATTCAGTGGCAAGGTTGTGCCACTTCACATATCCACCTCAGTTTCTTGCTGGCTGTTGGTCGGAGGTCACCCTCTGTTCCTTGCCTCATGGCCATCTTCATAGAGCAGCTTACAATATGGTGGTTTGTTTCATCAGAGTAAGCGAACAAGAAGACAAGAAAGGGAATGTGCTAGCAAGACAAATCACAGTTGTTTGTAACCTAATCTCAGAAGTGGCATTATATCACCTACACTGTAGCCATTAAAAGTAAGTCACTAGAAGAGGGGATTGCACAAAGGCCTGAATACCAGCAAGTGGGGATCATTGGGGCTGTCTTAGAAACTTGCGTACTATAGTCATCAAGAATCTACTCACAGTTCAAATTTTCCCAATTGTCTTATGAAAATTTTTTTAAAATTTGTTTTGTTCTAATCGGGATCCAAATAAAGCTCATACACTGAACTCGGTTTCTTTTAATCAATGGATTTTCCTTTCCTGAATTTTCTCTCTTGCGATTTACTTGTTAAAGAAAGTTGGTCATTTATCTCATATACCTCCATCCTTGTATTTCCTGTAAACTGGTAGTTATATTCAGAGAATCAGATTCAGATTTGATTCTTTTGGTTCTACTGCTTCACAGGTGATATTGGGTTCTCCCATTAAGAGGAAATAATATTCTGTTTTCTCTCTTTTTGTGATTATTACTACCTATTAATGATCATTCCCTGGATTCATTTTTTTCTTGGGGCTGTGATATTGTGATTCTGTCATTTCTTCTTCATTTATTAGCTGAAATAGTATTTTAGAAAGAAAAGTTTCCATTTATACTTGTTTGGTTTCACTAAAGTATAGTTTGTTTATACATGTACAAAAGATAGGAGAAATGTTTGATTTTCTTCCCCCCTTTATTTTCTACTTTTCAAAATCACTGGTTTCCTATCATCCCTCAACAGTGACCAGTGAAATTTGTATGATTTGTTTGTATCATGATAACATCATGATAAACTAATGGATTTAACCATATTGAATGTCTTTTGAGCCATTGTACTTGTTATTATTCTTGATACTCAAATTGCTTCATCTTTGCTTTGGGGGATCTTCTTCAAGTTCTTGAGTCCTTTTCACACTGCTCCAGTAGTCTTTTTGATTTTCACTGATTATAAAGTCTTATCAGTGGACAGAGCTAGAGCACTCATCATGAGTGAAAACTGAAATTTCTGAGTTTCAAGTTTAGGATTATAGGATATTTTTTCTTAGACTTTATATTTGTGTTTCTTCTCTTATATAAGGGTTTAGGTCTTAATGACATGAACCTGATTGCTTTTTACTTTACCCTGTATTCTACTTGTCTATGACATAGTTTTAGAATAACAATTCCAGCATTATTAATAGTAATATGATTATTAAAAACAATATAAGATATTTCTTTTTAGTCCTTAGGATATAGCCCATCTGGAGCTGGCAGACAAATTAACTGCTTTTTAAGTCATGTTAAAGAATTACTTTGTGTAATTACACAGCAAATTCAAATAGTTTTGTCCATTTATTCACGTTGCCTTGGATTTTTAGGGATTGCTTTTTTAATTTGATTTAGTTTTGCTATTATATGAGACATATAATTCAAAGTCAGATTTATAAAGCAGAGTATATTCAGGTAAGTTTAGCATCTCTACCCTATTTCCTCCTTCCCTTATTAGATCACTTTCTTTTCTTAATCGCTTTTTAAATGTAAGGAAATACATACATATAGATGTGCACATCTTTGTGTGTGTGTACGTACATATTTATTCCCACCTGTCTTTCTTAAAATGTCATACTTACTTCTACCTTGGTTTTTATCAGTTAACAGCATTCCTTGGTATTACTCCATGGTAATAAATACATATATTTCAGTCTTTTTTTTTTAATAGCTGCATGGATATACATTGTGTGGATATATCATATGTAATTGTACCCAGTTCCTCATTGGTGGACATTTTAATTATTTCCAGTCTATTGCTATTACAAATAGTGCTGCACTAATACTCTTGTACATAAGGATTTTTAAATTTTTTTCCAGTTTGTCTTTGTGATAAATTCTTAAAAGTGAGATTTCTGTGTCAAAAGATAAATGCACGTGTCATTTTGCTAACAACTGCCACATTTTTCCACTGAAGTTTTGAGCCACTTCATGTTCCCACCAATAATGTGTGAAAATGCCTGACTCACTTCATTCTCAGCAATACAGTACATTGTCAAGCTTTTGGATTTATGCTATTCTGATGAATGAAAAAGGGAATTTCATTCTTGAGCAGGGTTGAACATGCTTCAATATACTTTTCTAAATTTACATTCTTTTACTGTTTAAAGTAATTTTTCCATGAACTTTTCTGAGTTTGTCGATGTGTATAGTCATACCATCTGTGAATGGATTTAACTTTATATAACCTTTCCAGTTCTTAGACCTTTAATTACTTTCTATTGTCTAATTACACAGGAAATACTTCCAGTGCAGTATAAATAGTGTTGGAGATAGTGAGAATCCTTATCTTAATCCTGACTTTAACAGATATTTTTCTCTTTTTTGAAGGCACTTACTATTCATGATACAGAAAAATGCCAAGCATGGGACCTAGGAACCAACTTCTTTCTCTGTGAAGACGATATTGTTAATATGAGAAACAGGTGACCATAAGATATTTTGATATGTTATCATAGGATTTTTTTGTTTGTTACTGTGGCAATTACTTAGAATATTTTCTGTATCTAAAATAATGGATCAGTAATAGTTGTTTTTAACTCATCACCATAAATTCACTCTACCATAGACATTTAATTTATATTTGTCAAAATTTTAATACATTCGCATTGCTACCTAGGAATGAATTTCTTTAAGATTATTAAAGAGGTCTTTACTATTGCTGAATATTTGAGAGACTTAAGGAGCATTGACCTATAAGGGTACACTTTGAGATTTGTGACTTACTATGGAATACAGCAGTATGCTACATCTCAAGATTATATAGTTTTCTATAAAGATAAATAAGTCCTAGCTTTTTTTCCCTCTCCAGTTTATAAAATTCACAGTGAAATTGTGTAATATTCAGCTTCCTCTGATGTCATCAAAGTGCCCAGGTTTGAAAGATTGAGTATTTTTATTGAACAAAAAAGCAGTAAAGGTGTTTTGGTTTTTATTGTTTTCTGTGTGTGTGTGTGGTTTTTTTTTTTTGTTTTTTTTTTTTTAGGGCCGAAGCTGTACTTCAACATGTTGCAGAATTAAATCCATACGTTCATGTCACATCATCTTCTATTCCTTTAAATGAAACCACAGATCTATCCTTCTTAGGTAAATACCAGGTTAGTACTCCATTTTGTATTAGATGTTATTGATAGACTCCAAGACAAATCATTAAGTATTAATATAGTATTAACTAATTAAACCTAGTCTATTGAGCAGAACAAAAAATTTCAGGTTAAGAGACTTTTTTTTAGAATACTTTTCAGATCCTCTATTTTAGGGAAGGGGCCTATTGACAAAGTAATTATGTCAGTCAGCTATTTTCACATTATTGTGCATGAAAAACTACCTGGACTCAGTGGTTTATAGCAACATGCATTTCTTTCTCATGCATCTGCATGTCAGTTGGAGTGCAGATGTTCTAGGCTGAACTTGAACTCCACAGTCTGGGTTCTGGTCCATGTACCACTCTTCTGGGACCAGGAGGCTACCTAAGACATGGTCTTCTAGCAGTAGCAGAAATGCAAAGGGGCAAGTGTAACCATCAAAGCACTTTCATTTCCAGCCTCTGTTTGTGTTACCTCCAGTAATATTCCATTGGGTAAAGCAAGTCATATTGTCAAGCCCAAAGTGAAGGAGCAGGAAAGTACACTCTGCCCTTCCTAAGGTCATGGGCAAAGAGTAATGTGTAACCCAATTACAGAGGAGTGAAAAATGTGGATCAACAATTTAATCTTCATCAGGTAACAACAAAACTTCTCAGTACCTCGGATGTTCTAAAAGTGACTGGGTTGACCCAGATTTTTCTCGTGATTAAATTATCATGTTACCCGTTGTCTAGAGAAAAAAAAACACTTCTGTGTTTCTTTAAGATCTCAGTACTTCTGGCACTTATGTGACTATGTGTATGTGGGTTTTCCCCCAACACCAAGCAATTCTCCAACATTCTGAACCCCTAACTTGGTGTCCCACGGTTTAATTTAGTTTTGATACTTCCTGCTGGAGATGATAGTGTCGGATCCCACAGGTTAAGGGTTCAGTCCCCCAAGAACCCACACACAGCCATCCCCCTGCTTCTGAGGACTGGCTGTAAATCAGAGGTTTCCACAACCCCCTTCTTAGGTCTGATTTATTTGCCAGTCTGTGAGAGTGGCTCACAGACTCAGGAAAACAGTTTATTTACTAGATTACCAGTTTATTGTAAAAGGCTGTAACTCAGGAACAACCAGATAGAAGAGATGCATAGAACAAGGTATGTGAGAGGGGGTGCCAACTTCCCAATACCACCACATGTTCACATACTTGGAAATTCTCTTCAGCCCCTGATTCAGGAACTTTTATGGAGGCTTCATTATGTAAACATGAATGATTAAAACATTTATGTAAGCATGAATGATTAAAACATTGGCCATTAATGATTAAGTCAGTCTCTAGCCCCTCTCCCTTCCCCAGAGGTCTAGGATATGGGGCTGAAGTTCTGACTTTCAGATCATAAGGTTGGTTCCCCTAACAACCAGCCCGCATCCTTAGGGGCTTCCCAAAACTCACCTTATTAACATAAACTCAGGTGTGGCTGAAAAGGCATGTTATGAACAAAAGACATTCATTTCACCTTTATCACTCTGGAGGTACTTCAGGAAGTAGGACTAAATGAAATATTATAACACAAGTTGCCCTTGTAGCTCTTACGTAGAAATTATAAGAGTGTTAGGAGTTACATGCCAGGAACCTTGATTGAAGACCAAAATATATACTTCTGATTTATAATCACAATATCACACCTACTTAAAAATCAGTGTAGACTTCCATTTTTGATTGGGTAACTTGAAATCCATCCGGCTACAAAGATGCTTTGTACACTTTCTGCAGTAGAACCTGCTTAATAACCTTCCTTTTCAGTGATTACATGGGCTCAAAAAAATGTTAGGGAAGTGCTCAGAGACCAAAAATGAATCAGTAGCTAGAAGAACAGTGAACTACTCGCTGTGGTCACTTTCAGGGATAGGATTTGCCTGTCTCCGTAACCACATTTCTTAGGAATTAATGGTCACACAGAAATAAGATACAAAATGCATCTACATGAGACAGAAAAATGTAATTGAGACCTATCACTTCTTTGTGGCTCCCTGGAACTTCAGAAAGCTACACCCTTAGGAAAAGGGTATATGAAAACAGTCTTTGCCCATCAGAACAAGAAGCTTTTCCATTTTCTCTTGAGCTTTGGATGAAACAAAGATTTTTCTCAGAATTTATAACCATAGCCATTCCTTCACACGAGTTTGGAGTGAACTTTACAATCCACTGTAGTCTAAAATTTCCCCAGCTGAGAACTTAACATAAGAAGTAGTACTGAGCTGGTGTTACCCTGGAATGCCAGTCAGAAACAAAACTAAAATATCAAGAGGAATATACCATCAACCAGGCCACAGTATATTCCAGTATATAAAGCCTGTATGAGATTGTGTTTGTAATACAAAATAATATGACAGGAGAAATCAGTTCAGCATGATCAAGAATCAGTGGATGTGATAAACAATAGAATTAAACCTCCAAGAATTTCAGATAGTAGAATTGTTGGATAGGGACTATAAAATATAGATGTTCAAACTGACTAAATCTTAAAAGAAGGGATTAAATATACAGTATGAAAATAAGACACTATTGAAAACAACCAGGCAAATAGAGTCTGGGAGGAGACTGAGAGTCTCAACCTGCTTTTGCCATAAATATGAATAACCCTAGGGAAATATTTGACCTTTATGATTCTAAGTTACTTATGATAAAATCTGATTATAAAACCTTCTCCACTTATCTCATAGGATGATAAAAAATTAAAGTAAGCATTGAAAATTATAATTTGCTGTGTTAAATAATAGTGCTTGTTGGTTTCAGTAATGACACTATCAAAACAAAAGTTGTTATATTGTGAATCTGTTAAATCTGAAGTAAAAGCTAAATCAACTAATGTATCTCTTTAAAAATGTAATTGTTATCCCTTTATGCTAGTACTGAATTTATATTCTGATGACTAGGTTAGTATTTCTCTAGCAGTAACAGATAAAATCTCCAACCATTTGAGGTATATAAATAACACATAGGATTTTAAGGTTTGCTTCTAACTGTGAAGCCTGTGATGGTAATTGAATTTAATGTGGGCAGATTTTCCCCTATGTATACTATGCCATTTTATATAAGGGTCTTGAGTATCTGCAGATTTTGGTATCCACAGGAGATTCTGGAACCAATCCCCTATGGATACCTAGAGTTGGCTGTGTATGTTACTTTTACTTTTGCTATTCTGTACCTCTGAAGGTGTTAACCTTAAAATAGAATATAATAAGAGTAATTTTTTGCAAGGAAAACAGTGCATTTTTAGCATAGTGAAAACTATGTGAAATGCTTCTGATTTAGAAGTTGTACATCACCAAAATAATTGTTTATTTTCTAGTATTTAGTTTCTTGTATTCTTCTCAACAGTGTGTAGTTCTGACTGAGATCAAACTTCCATTGCAGAAGAAGATTAATGACTTTTGCCGTTCTCGGTGCCCTCCAATTAAGGTAATAGTGTTACTTAATAATGACATAGTTTACCAGAGAAAAAATCACTTTCACTATTAGAATTTGTAGCTTTTCAGTGAGTTTCATGAGGAATTCTTTTTACATAAGGACAGTCACATTATTTTTCTTTTTAATTTTGGTATCATAATCATTTCCTATTTTTAAAATGAGGATCTAAATTTGGTTTATAGGCAAATTGCCAAAACTAAGGAGGAATTAAGATTAGCAGTGTAAAGAATGATAAATATTGAACTCATCATCTCACTTTAAATATGGTATGATGGTGGTTTTCAAGAAGTTCATTGTTTCTTTTAACAAATAATTAAGCATATGTCTACTGTGTACAAGATACAGTTCTGGGCACTAGGAATACATTCATGAATAGGACATACAGATTTTCCAGTTCATGAAAATTCCTTCTACTAGGAAAGATATATAATAAACTGGCAAATAAATACACAGTTTCAAGTCTTTGGGAAAAAAAGCTAGGTAGAATGTCTAAATGATGTTGGGAGGGGCTGGTGCTGATTCTCTTAGATTGAGGTCAAGGAAGTTCTCTCTGAAGAGATGACATTTGAATAGAGCCTTGAATTATGAGAAAGATCCGGCTATGTAAAGATCTGGGGAAGAATATTCAAAACATAGGGAAGAACATTCAAAACATAGGGAACAACAGCTGTAAAGATTTGTAAGTGCAAAAATTCACATAGTGTGTTTGACCAGAATGGAGTTTGGGTAGAAGGGAGAGAGTAATAGGAGAAAGGATACCAGAAGACTGAGTTCAGAGAAGTAGTTAGAGGGCTGTATCTTACAGATCTTTGAGGATATCTGAGTTCTAAGCTTTTGAGTTTCAGTCTGGTTTATATTTTTAAATGATCACTCTGGCCATGCTGTATGGAGAATAGATCAGTAGTTTTCAGAGTGTGGTATAAGGATACTGAGGGTCTCTGAGACTTTGATGGGGTCTGCAAAGTTGAAGAACTGTTTTTATAATATTACTGAAATGTTACTTGCTTTTTTTCACTCTTATTCTCTTATGGGGTACAGTGGAGTTTCCAGAGTCTGTATGATGTGTGGTGACATTATTGCTCTGATAGCTAATGGAAGGTGTGTGTATATTCTTGTGTTTTAAGTATTTCTCAGTTTTAATTTCTAACACAGTAAATTACCAGTAGGTATAACCCACATAAACAAAAGCTCTTTGGGTCATTAATAATTTTTAAGAACATGAAGGGATCATGAAACCAAAAAGAAAGAAAACTGTTGAAATTGTAAGAGCAGAGGTGACTAGACCAGTTAGGAGCTAATGCAGTAAGTAGCCCAAGTGAGACATGCTGGTGGTGCCTTATTCAAAAGAGTTGGGAATAGAGATTGTGAGAAGTCATTGAACTGAGGAATTTGAGGAAGACTAACAGAATTGAGAATAGATGAATGAGAGCTGTGAAGGAAAGTGTGATGAAGAATGACTCCTAGATTTTTGCCCAGAGTAGTTAGGTGAGTATTGATGACATTGGGAAGACTGGGAAGAGGTTTAGATGGGAAAAATCATAAACCATGCCCTGCAATTAAATACATATTACTAACTCCACCTCCTTTGTGGGGCCATTTCTTGCTTTGGAAAAGGAAAATGCTGTTTGTTCCTTTCAGATAGGCACTAAGCCATGATCTTACTGTATAAAATAGTTGTGCTAAAAATTTTGGATTGTGGTATTTACATAGTATATTTATATTCTGTAGAACATTTGTGCTCTGGTTCACAATTTAAATTAAGCAGATGAACAAGACACAAAGTAGTCAGTAAATTTATAACAGGAAACAAAAGTTTTACAAAATAATTACACTAGGTAATAAACTAAAATCTTTGTTTATGTGATTGATATATATATATATATATTCATACTTTAAAGTTGTTTTTCAAGGAAAGAAATTGTCCTTGAGTTTGCAGCTTTTAAACTTAAAAAGAAAGCTTCTAAATTTCTGCTCAGTTTTATGTCTCATAAAAAATTCTGTAGGTGCCTATTTGATAGTAAAGGCATTGCATGATCAATTAGGAGGTAATCTTCCATTAGCCATTTCACTACTTCATGTAATAGGTGGTATATATCACTGGTTACATTCTTATACCCAAATATGAATAGACTTTAGTTTTTGCTAGAAAAATATCACTTGGTATGGGACCATATGTGTTAAAGATTAAGAGTTTTTCTTTATTATAAATATCTTTAAAAATAACTGAGCACATAAACAATTTCTTTACATTTTCTTAGACTGGAGAGTATGTGTTATAAAAATGACTTTCAGTAAAATATTTTATAAGATTGTGTTTAAGAATCTGATTTTTACTTTTCATGACTTCAATGTTTACTGTCAGTTTCTCAGTCCCTTTTCTGTTGACCACACGCTCAGCTTTCAGCTCTGTTTTATTTTCCATTAACTCTACTGCTTTTGGTGAATGGACATTCCATTCTTTTCTAAAATGAAAAGTAAGAATTCACTGCTAGACCATCAAACAAAGATACCTTGTTTCTTATAAACTTTGCTTCATTTTTAGGGCAAGGCAGAAGTTGTTATTGAAAAATTACAGATTGTATGATGATGATGTGCTGATGTTGCTTCTAATTTTGTAACGCTAGATATCCAGTCCCAAATACCAAAATCCTTGATCCCGAAACCAATTTACAAATAAATAATTTATCCTATTTGTGATCATTTTATACCCCAAAGAATATGCTTAATTATAAATAAAATTGTCATAAAAGAGCCTAAGATAGTTGAGCTTTTTTTTTCTTATATATTCTGTAATATATAAGCTTAAAATTGTTTTTATCATTTCACAGTTCATCAGTGCAGATATACATGGAGTTTGGTCACGGTTGTTTTGTGATTTCGGTGATGAATTTGAAGTTTTAGATACAACAGGAGAAGAACCAAAAGAAATTTTTATTTCAGATATAACGCAAGTATGATTATATATGTATATTATTGTATATGTATATGATTGATTTTTTAAGTTGATGTGAAACTTTTTTAAAAGGTGGTATTAGCAAAATATTAGAATATGCAATATTTTTTATTTGTTTAAAATAAAGTTGGAATATTAAAAGTGTTTCTGGATTCCTTCTAACATTATTTAATAATTGATAGACCAACAGTTGCTTATGTCGTTGATTTTAATTTTAATTTTGTTCTATGCCATGCCCCTATGGGACATGAATTCAGTATTTACCACAGTTTATTGTGTCAGATCATAGTTGTGCTAGGTATGTCATAAGTCACTTGGCCCAACACTTTGACTCCAGGAAGATGGACACATCATAGACAAGAGCTTTTCAAATTTGTTACATTTCTAAAGCATTAACCTTCAAATCAGAAGATCTGAATTTTCTAACCATCTTCTTTTTTTTTTTCTGGTTTTGTTTTACTTTTGAGGTAAAATTCACATAACTTAAAATTAACCACTTTAAAGTGAACAGTTCTGAGACATTTAGCACATTTAACCATGTTCAGTTAATATCGTGCTAGTTTAATTTTTTTATTCCCTAAAAGAATTAGAGAAATTATTATGATCTATTTTTACTACTTTTTCTTTTTAGCCTAAGTCATTAACTTTATATACAGTCTTTATAATCAATTTATGTTAAAGGTCAAAAGAAGACAAATATAAGGAAATGATAATATACTTTGACCTAATAGTATTTGTGCTTCTATCTTTATGCTTTATTTTTAAACCTAATGTTATGTTGCCTTTCTCACCCCTTTTTAAGAAAAATTCATTGAAAAATTATTCTGTGTGTCTTTCTGCTTACAGAATGGTTTATTGTTCAGCCTTTTACCTTCTCTAGTTATTGTTAGTTTGTCCCTGTGAATATCGTACAGTTGGAGTAAGCTCCAAGGGATCTTGTATTTCACTGATATTTTCTTTTATTGAATAGTGCAGGAAATGTGGAGGTTATCCATAAAGAATTAGAAAATATCATAAACGTTCCCATTTAACTTACCTGCAGATTATTTCTCCTTATGAATATTATTCTTGAGATATTAGTAAACCCACATTACATTAATTTTATCTGCATGTTTGTGATCATAATTATATTTCTCAGATCATTAAGCAGCAAGAGAATTTTTAGTATCTACACAATTGTGAAAGAGAATGATAATTCCATTAGGTTTTATGTAGATTAAATTATCACCTTATTTAAGCAATGTGTTGGATTATATGCAGTTAGTAAATTTCCAGGTGTTTGACCTATCTCATCCTTTCTTTTGGTGAGATAAGTGTATTTCTTATTCTTTATATTTTTCTTCCTATTTTTATCCTGATAAACTTGGCTACATAATATTTCTTTGGCTTTAAAGTATTGGACAAACTTTTAAACTACCACTTTCCTGGCTTAAATCTCCATCCTTCATTCTTAGATTTCTTTGATCTTCAGAGTTGAACTAATCTTTTATGAACATCAAGTCTTTCATAAATGACTTTAGAACTTAATATTCAGTCACTTTGACTTTTTTTATAAGTCACAATAATCTTTGAATCTATGAAACATTTGAACTCCTTTATGGAATCTGTTTCCCCCAATCAGAGAAATTATATTTTTAACATTCCTAATAAAATAAGTGGGTCCCTGTTTTGTGAAAGTTTTTTTTTTAAGTTTAATAATACATTTTATTTAACCCAGTATATCCAAAATGTTATTATCTCAACATGCAATCAATATGAAAAAGCATTAATGAGATATTTCCCATCCCTTTTATCATACTAAGTCTTCAAAATCTAGTGGACCCTTTTATACTCATGGCACATCTCACTTTGGATCTGCTGCATTTCAAGTTGTGACAGGTTTTTAAAATCTTGCTATTACTATAGAAGAATGGCTTGGAATTTTGGTTGTTTTGAGAATTTTATGATAACATGGGTTCGTTTTTGTGTGAAATTGGAATTTGTACAAAAAAGAAATACATGGCTTTGTTTTTTAGTAGATTACTCTTATTTTTAGGCTAATCCTGGCGTTGTTACTTGCCTTGAAAATCATCCACACAAACTTGAAACAGGACAGTTCCTAACATTTCGAGAAATTAATGGAATGACAGGCTTAAATGGATCTACGCGAGAAATAACTGGTGAGTTTCTGTGTTTTATTAATTCATTTATACTTATTCATTATTCAGCACATTTATAGTTCAGGCTCTGTTCTCAGTGTTGAGAATACACTATCAACTCAGATAGACATGATCCAATTCCCTGGCCTCAAGACATTAAATCTAAGTAAGGGGATGTTAACATTAAGCTGTGATGATGGTATAAAGAGAAAAGATGTTCTAGGAACTTTAAACTTAGCAAGGAAGCCTACTCAGTTTTGGTATAACAGCTGTAGAGACAGGGTATCTTGATTAAAATTTGAAGATTGCATTGTCTTAGGAAGGTAATGAAAAGGAAAGAACAGTCTGTGCAGAGACAAACAGTAAGAAGCAAGACACAATTCAAGAACTTAAAGATATAATGTGACAGGGCTGGCAGTGAGAGTTGAGATAGCAAGAGTCTTAGGACATTGAGGAGGAAACTTTATTATCTCATATGGTAGATGAGCGAAGATTCTGTCAACTTACTTATTCACACATTAGGGAGTGAAAGAAAAGGAGCAGGTTCTGAGAGAAATTAATGTGTCCAGTCTGAGCTTGCTGGGTGAGGTGACAGTGAAGTATTCAAGCAAAGATACCTGTTTTTGTCCAGTGGCTTTAATAAAAGGGATGAATGAATGTTACTGTAGGCAGATGTGTTGGTTTATTAGCAAGAAGCTGCAGGGATCTGTTCTGTTAGTGAACTAAGGTAAGATCCTGACCCAAAGGAGAGATAAGGTGACGTGGCCAGAGATTTGAAGAGAGTAAACATTTTAAAAAATAGATTATCAGGCTTCATTTAGGGCCCATTTGAAGTTGAAGATAATTAATTTGTAGCACTGTTAGTCTGCATAGTTTGTGATTTTCTTCCAAGCCATGTTTAAAAGAGTTAAAAACATTAGTAGATGTCTTATAACTCAGAGACAGCATGTTTACACCTGCTCAGCTGAGAGTGATTCAGTTTTATCTCTAGGGCTTTTGAAAGTATAATTATGTGATTAATGTATAGACTAGTAAATGGATTACTTTTTTTTTCTTTTAATGACTACAAAGTGAATCCTTAGGAGAGAAAAAAGTCAGTTTCTGTTACAAATTTATAGCAAAACTTTGGTCTGTATTTAAGAATTTTTGATAATAAAACTTTTGGATTTTATTTCCCAGACTATACATATGTAAAACACAGGTTCATATCATTGATATTAAATAATTTGTATTGGTTTTTCCAAAAATTGACTAAACTAATTATTTAGGATTATCCTTTGTTGTTTTGGGGTCCACGTAATGATGGATTGTGGTACTGGATCCGAGTCTTGAGGCTATATATATGAAAGGAGGAGCCACTGGATGTCAACAAATGAAAATTTTAAAAACTCACATTTTGTACCAAAAATTCTTTGGGCAAAGAGAGGATATTTAAATAGAATAGGTGTTTATGAAACTTACTTTTTTCTTAACATTTATTAATTTATACTTACTGCTCTAAAGTAATTTTCTGTTACTTGAAAAACATTTTAAAATAGCTACAATATGCTTATTCTAGATAAACATAAACATATAAATGTTTAAATAGAGTTAAAAATGAGTACTATTTCAGACCTCCTCCCACTCCAGAGGTGTGGCAGCCTAAGATTGTTGTTTACTCTGCTGACCTGTTCTGTCTCCTTAATACATAAGGCTTGTTTATTTAATTTAATTTCTTGAAAAGTCAGATAGTTCAAACAGTAGAAGGCAAATGTTCATAGTGAAAACTTTTCTGCCCATCTGTAGATCCTCCTTGTTACTACCTATCCAGTGTTCTCAGTTTTTGTGTCCTTCCAGGGTTTCCTTATGCAGTTTTATACGCAAAGTAGCATATTACTCATAGAGCTACCCTTTGACTTTTCATTAAATGAATCATCTAGATGGGTGTTTTTACATCAGTAATTGCATAACAGTCTTTATTTTTTCCCCTTATGGCTCATAGTATTTCAGGCATTATTGAAATTGGTATAGTATATCACTTGAGCTATCCCTTCCCCGAAAATAATATAGTATAATTACATTTTACATATTATGGATAAAATTAAGTATCTCATCTTAAGTTTTAGAGCTATTTTTTCTTTTAAAGTGAATCATCCTTTACCCATTTTCTTGTTGAGTTTTTGATCATTTTCTTAATCATTCGCCGGGACTCCTAATATACAGGGCATATTTACTGAGTTGCTTTTTTTTTTAATATGAGTCACAAATATTTTTTCTAGTTTGGCATTTGACTTTGCTTGTTATAGTTTTTATTGTGTGTATATAATGTCAAATTTTTCAGTTTTTTCTTTTATGGCTTTTATTTTAAGTCATAATTAGAAAAGCCTTTCTCTACTGCAAAGTTTTTCTCCTATACTTCTATCTAATAAAATTTTTTACATGTTTTTGGACATTAAAACTTTTATCCATTTGGAATACTTTCCTAGGTGGCTTTTTTCCCTGCAAGATTTGTTGAGTAATCTTATCTTTTCTTTATTGGTTTGAGTTGCCACCTTAATTTTGTCCCTCGTGGATCTGTTTCTGAGTTCTCTAATCTGTTTTGTTTGTGTACCTGTCTATTCAGGAGCTAGTATCACTGTAGATTAATTATTAAATATATATAATAAATATAAATATATTGATTATTGAGGCTTCATAAAATATTTTAATATCTGACGATAACCTCTTATCATTCTTTTTTTATCCTTCCAAGTTTTCTTGGCTATTTTTGCTAAGTCCTTATATTCATATTGGAAAAATAATTTCTCTTCCCACACTTCCTCCCACCCACCTCCCTACAAAAAGATTTAAACTGAGACCTTCTTAATTTTGTAAATTAGAGAAAATTGGTATTTTATGATGATAAGCCTTCAAATGTAAATGCTTAGTATGTAATGGTTTTCTTTTTTTCTTCTTTTAGTGTTATCACCATTTTCTTTTAGCATTGGTGATACTACAAAACTGGAACCTTATTTACACGGAGGCATAGCTGTTCAAGTTAAGACTCCTAAAACATTTTGCTTTGTAAGTATTTTTTTCTGCTTAAAAAATACTTCTTTACAGAAGAATGACAGCAAATAAAATAATTACTTAGTTAACCAAACAATAATTCAAAGGTTGAACAGATACTGATTTTCTATTTGTACCCACTTTGAGGAAAATTGTATCAATCTATGGAAATAAACTGATATCAACAAAAAAATTTACAATAGTAACACATATAATTGAGGTATATAAGTTACCTCAAAGAAACTGCACCTTTGTGAATCATGAAAAGGTTGATCATACTTCTTAAAATTACTTCCTGAGACAAAAGACATAACTAACAAGCATTGATTCAGTGTGTTTTGTTTTATTATTCAGCTATTCACATTTTTAAAGTAAAAGGAATATTTCTTTTATTTATCATACTTATTGATTCAGGTTTTTTGATTTAATTTTTTGAGCTTCAAGAAACAGTGTGTATATTGGAAATGTGAGATAATTCCTATAAACTGGCATTGAAAGGAAATGTAAGTATCTGTATAGAGAGAATTTTGAGGCTACTAGTATCAAGGAACTGAGGAGTCTCCTACTGCCTCCTACTCCTAAATCCTTAGGCCACTTCTCAGAATAAGCTGTCTAATTCATCTCTGTTTTTTTCTTGCAAGTTGTCAAGGTTTTAACTTGACTGCCTGTTGTTTTCCAGAACAATTAACTAAAGTCCTCTACAAGGTTTTGTTTAAGACAAAGTTATAACAAAACAACAGATTAAAATGCTACAGCTACTCAAATCTGCCCCTGCATTACTTCCTCTTGCCATTGTCCACAGTTTTTAATTATGCTTCTGTTTATGTTTCAAGTAAATTTCAGGTTGGATTGTCTTTTGTGGGCCTGGGGGGATGTTGGTTGATTGTTTGGGTTTTTTTGGCTTTCATGTGTTCTTTGCTCCACACGAAGAATTTTAACTGGTTGTTTATTCAAGTCCTGTCAGGCATAAAAAGTCTTAATAATGTGCTATCAGAAATATGTGGTAGCTCTTTCATTAAAATAGTATTTTTTCAAGTGTACTAATGTTTCCAACAATTCTTCCTGAATTTACTATGTGGAGCAGGTTGTCTAATTGCATTTAACATTAAAAAAATAAATAAGTGTGATAATAAGACAAGGGGTTACCAGGGAATGGTAGCTATTTTATATTTTAGCTAAAATGTATTAGGTCAACCTAACTTATTTCTCATCTTTGGGAGAGAGCCATTGCATTTAGTGTTCTGTATAGTTTGTCAAGTAATCACTTGCTTGCTCTAGAGTTATAGTGGATTTTTTTGTTGTTTATTTTTCTCTCTTAGGAACCATTGGAGAGGCAGATAAAACATCCAAAGTACCTTATTGTGGATTTCAGCAAACCTGAGGTAAATAAACACTTTGTAGGTTTGAGAGAGGCAACAAAGTGGGAGATGGAGATTGGTAAAAGATTATAAGGTTGAAACAGAGCAACCATGTATGTACCTTTCTGTCAGACTGTTAATTTTTTTTTTAATAAAGATTGTATTCATATGTCTAGAGTTGACTCCCAAGAATTAAAAATGGGAATTTATATAATGGAAAATGTTAGAAAAATAGGAAAAAATTTAACTATTATAATGATAGGCCAATTTTGATGGTTAAAAGATGATTTTAATAATTCATTCAAAGGTGATCTTACTAGAAGATTTTCTGAACCATGTAGAGTTTTATATAATACGTATTGCTCCCCACCCAAAAAAAAACTTGGGAAACATTCTGTTTTTTCAAATCACTGGATATAATTTTATAGCAGTCAATGTATTTGTGATAACAAATTTTATTTACAGTTTCCAAATTTGTATATGTTGATAAGGAAAAGAGATTCAGTGATCTTGTATAAATATTTGTTGCTGTTGTTCAGTTGATACTACTCTTAAGTTTCATATGAATAACCTAATAAAAACTAGTCATACCACCTGGGAATGAAACTTGGATCTATTGCTTAAATACAGCTTTCTGACCTTGAAGTCAAGTCATTTAACTTCTCTAAGCCTCAGCTTCCTCATCTGTTAAGTAAGGATAATAATAGTTATAAGCTAATTCATTTTTGTAATGAATAAAATAATGTTTTAAAAACATTAACATAGTCAATGCCTGGTACACGTTACACACTCAGTAAATATTGACCAATTTTTTAATGTTCTAAATAGGCATCTTTAGAGATTCACTCAGCCATGCTTGCCTTGGACCAGTTTCAGGAGAACTATAATCGCAAGCCAAATATTGGGTAATGTTCTTTGTTCGACTTTTTTTCCTTATTGTAAAAAGAGTATTTCAGAAATTATAGATTACTTTTAAGTAACTAAGCCCAATATAAGTGCAGTACCATTAAATACACCAAACTATAAGCACTTCTGAAAACCTGGGTTTTTTTCTGATTAGAGTGGAGAGGTCAATTTATAAAAGTGAAATTATACTAAATAAGAATTTTCCCACTTTGAAGTCTTCAAAAGCTATAACTTTTTAAAATCTGGGAATTATTGAATTATGAATCTACTATCTAGTTTTTTTACCACCTAGTTTATTACGTCAAGTTTTATTGCAAAAGATTTTTCCCTTGAATATTTAAATCTTATTTATATACTGTCCTTAAGTGAGCATGATTTTGAAGTAATGTGTTTATAAACCAAGTTACCTTCAAGTCAGTAAGCACTTTATGCTACATGTTGGCAAAATTCCACTTTTTTTTAACATTTCTTTAATTTTAGTTATTTATATGACCTACTATTTATAGCAATTGAGAACATTGATATTGGGTGCTTTGTTTTGAATCCTAGATGCCAACAAGATTCAGAAGAGTTGTTGAAACTAGCAACATCTATAAGTGAAACCTTGGAAGAGAAGGTGAATATTCAAAATGATAGCCATCAAAAATTGTGTAACATATAAATATTGATATTTTCTTATCCTTCAAATTCCAGTTTTGCTATACTTGTTGACTCTGTGACAGTAGACAAGTTACTTGATTTCATTCTGCTTTAGTTTTTCAGATCATGGCCTATTTTTTAATTAGGTTGTTTGTTTTCTTCTTACTGAGAAAGTTCTTAATACATTCTGGAAATTAGTCCTTTATTGGACACATCTTTTACAAATATTCTCTTCCAGTCTGTGGTTGTCTTCATTTTATTGCAGCATCTTTTGAAGAGCAGAAGTTTTTAATTTTGATAAAGTTTAGTTTATCAGTTTTTCTTTTTTGTGATTTGTACCTTTTTTAACCCCAAATCACAAAGTTATTCCCCTGTGTTTTATTCTAGAAGGTTTATAGTTTTGCAAATTCATTTTTATATACCATGCAAAGTATAGATCATGTACATGACTGTATATTTTGAACTCATTGTTTATAGTTTTGTACTTTTATGAATTCATTTTTTTCTACCTTGCCAAATATAGATCAAGGTTAATTTTTGTGTATATGACTATCTAGTAATTCTAGTCCGTTTATTGAAAAGAGAATTCTTTCTTTTTTTCAGTTTTTTTGGCATCTTTGTCAGAAAGTTATTATATGTGTAGGGCTTTTTCTGTACTCAGTAGTATCTTCTATTGGTTGTTTCTGTCCTTTTGTTGGTACTATCCTGTATTGATCACTGGAGCTTTATAGTAAATATTGCAGTCAGGTTTGGTCTCTGCTGTATTACTCAGAAAGAGCTCAGAATTAACAGTATTCCCTGAGTTCTTACACATTTGAAATTGTTTCTGTAGCCTTTATGCTTGAAAGGCAGCTTGGCTGAAAGTAAAGTTCAAGGCTTTTACTTTCTTCCTTAATACTTTTTTGTATCTTATTGTTGGGAAGTATGATGCCAGTTTACTTATCTGACTCTTAAGTAATCTGATCTTTTTTGCCTTGAGTCCTTGTATATTTTTTTTCTTCTGTATATTTTTTCATCTGTGAAGTCTAATAGTTTTACCAGAATATAACTCAGGGCTGATCAGTCAGTTGTTCCAGGTACACCAAGAGCCCATTTTGATTCATAGATTTGTATTTCTTTTATTTATTTCATCCCCTTTAGGGGAGGGGAATGGATTATTTTGGTTCTTGGTTATTAAATTTCTGATTCAAGGTGGGGTTTTTTGTGTTTATTTTCCCAAATCTTCAAGTGTTTGTTATAATACAAAAGTGTTAGTTATAATTATAAGCATATATAATTCACTCAATCAGGTTTACTCTACCTTGTGATTAGTTTGGGGGAGAAATTTTCAGTAGCTGAAATGTTTTGATTCTAATGTTTTGTCTCCTTACATCACCTTTGCTTGGTAAACTGATTTTTTTCTGCATATTTTTTTGGATGGGGTAAGGGTTTTGGGTGCTTGTTCAGATTTCTACTTCTAGAGCCCCTCTTCCTATTCTCTCAGGATACTGAAAAAGGAGTGTCTTTAATAAATGATTTAAAAAAAATTTTTTTTAATATTTTTGGTGCATAGGTGTTGGTATATCTTACTGATCTTTTTGATTTCTGCCAAATCCTACTTAACTTCCTCTCTTACTTCCTTTTTCAGTCTTCCCTGTCCTTCCTGTTTACATCATTATCTCCCAGAGTAGTCCTTTCACCATAGCCATTGCTGAGATCTGCCGGATTTCATACATGTTCAGTATTTTTGCACTTCATGTGGGACCTTCTGTTTTCTCAGGATGATTTTGACTGCTTTGTCACGCTAGGCTTTTCATTGTCTTTTCTGTGTTTACATGCTTCATGCTCTCTGTGTAGGCTTACAGCAATATGAAGTCCAGAAATAGTTCATTTGGGGTTTGGTGTTTGTTTTTTTATTTATAAGTAATTTGAAGTTCATAATATTCTGTTTCTTACTAATGCCGAAGCCCTGCCACTGGTTTATTTCTCTTTATGTGGATATGTATCATTTTTGGAGACTGTGTGAGGAAGTTCAGGTTTAAGCCATAGTCATTATCCCAGGATAATGAAAAATTCCCAGATTTGGATTTTGTTTATTAAAAAATACAGAATCTTGAGAGATGGTGTACCTAATGGTAAGAATAGAGCTGGGGAGTTGGACTTTCTGTGTTCAGATTCTGGCTTCCCCACTTATTAGCAGTAAAATTTTAAATAAATTACTTAATCTTTCAAAGTTTTAGCTTTCTAATTTGTATGATAGAAATTATATTTCTGAGGATTATTTTGAAGATTACATTTGGACTTAATATACAACTCAGAGTAAATGTTCAAATTACCTGCTTCTATTAGCATTCTTGTCATTGTTTTTAATGTTATCACTACCAGCAATATCTCTGCCTTCAAAAATGGCACAGTTTATGAAATTGTAATCCAAGGTGCATTTAGTGCTAAGTAGTTGTAAAATAATGAGATATAGAAAAATTGAAATGGAGTGAGTAGACTAGTGAGTAGATATTAACCTCTTTCTGTATCATAGATCTTTGATTATGTAATAAAAGCCTTTGTTCTTCTTTTCTACATGCACAGGTACTGTTATTTTACATAGGATTTCAGATTAATTGAGCCCTACTTGGATCCTAGATTGAGATTATAGTTACTGATATCAAAAGTATATGCAGAGAAAGAGAAGCCATAGCTCATAAAGAGATCTTTGTCCCAAATAAGAAATTGTGCTAAAATAATAACTACAAAATTCAGTTCTCTATTGTTTCCTTAAAAATACTAATAAATTTTATTTTGAGAAACATCATTTCAGATTTTAAGTGTGATTATGAAAACTTTGTGATGATTGGCTCTTAAATTAGATTAGTATGTAAAACTGCCATTACTCTCTTTTTTCCTAAACTGCCTTTTCTAACAATGTATTAACTCATTTTTACAGTTTTACTTTTTATTTATCACTTCAAGCACGAATCATTGCTTCCTTACCACTTTTTATGGCTCATTTTATTTTTATTTACCTAGGTTAAAGGTTTTTCTATATTAAAACATGTTTTTAAAAATTCTAGTTGTTTGTAAATATTGACTGACATCACAGAACTGTTTTTTAACAAGAACTATCAATGGTAGATAATCCAATTAATTATAAATTGTGCCCTAGTATAACAACAAAGAGTCAAAAAGTGAAAATAGGGGAGGTACTGGTAAAGAAAAATACTGCTTAAGGTAACTAACATGCAGTTGGATCTTTTATTATGAGATTGGGACTCTTTTAGGACTTAAAAACTATTTAGTAGGGAAATTGAATACCTTTTTTAAAAGTTAAGCTATAATTATTCTCACATTAACTCAATACCATGTGGATACTGTTAAGATTATTATCTTTCCTGGCTTGTGTTTCAGCCGGAAGTAAATACTGACATTGTGCGTTGGCTCTCTTGGACTGCCCAAGGCTTTTTACCCCCACTTGCTGCAGCAGTAGGAGGTGTTGCCAGCCAAGAAGTATTGAAAGCTGTGACAGGAAAGTTTTCTCCTTTGTGCCAGTGGGTTAGTGCTCTGTTTTTATATTTTTTTATACTTAAGTTTGAATTATCTACCAATATAATGAATGTCTGTTATGACTTACAGTATTAATATGTTATGAAAGACAACCTTAAAATATTTTTTGATGCATGAGTTAGATGTGATATGCCACCAGAACTTAATTCTACAATTAAAACTGGCAGGATCATTTGTTGAGGCTGTCGGGTATAACCTAGAATTGCATTCGAGGATGTATTTATGAGAGAAAAAAATGAATTTTCTATCCTTAGATTTAGTTCTGCTACTATGTAGCAGTCATGAGCTTTCAGGACTCTTGAACTGTTGTGTGTAATCTTTTGGCATCATAAATCTTCACATTCCCTAGTTTCTAGGTATAAACTTCTAAAGGTAGAAAGCATAGGAATGGTAAAAGTTTAGCAGCTATGTAGGGGAAAAACCCTTACTTCTATTAACAGAAGGAATAATTGACAGCATTTATCAAAGGACACTATCTTGTTTTTTGTGTTTTAAAAAGTTAATTTTAATAATTAAAATATATGAAATTTATAATTAAATTTATTATAGATTTAATAATGCTATTTTGCTGCAGAATCATTTGGTTTATTTTAACAGTACAAAAGTCTGGTTTTAGATATAACTATTAACAGCATTGCAAATATGAATTATGTTATTAATACAGATTCTATGTTGTCAAATAAATAACCATTTATTCTCATGTAAAGATTTAGCCACATAATGAAATGAAAATGAGAATGAGACTCAACAGTTTTTTCTCATTAACTTGAACTAAATCTGTTTGATATTTTTGTAAATGCTGAAATTATGGCTTCCTAGACCGTTTCCTCTGTAGTATAAATAATTATAAATGACATATAGTAAATAGAGACTAAGTATTTTCTTATCAAAAGTAATCAATTATTTACTCAAATGTAGGTGAAATTGAACAAACCTTCCAGAGTTTTTAAGTAGTTATAAGAAACAGATTTGGAGGTGAAATTTCCTTTCATTTGTTAAAATTAGAATGTATCATCTTTAAGATGGCTAAGTGACATGAACCAAATTATATCTTTTTACAGTTCCTCCAGATTTAATGTTTCAATGAAAGAATATAAGGAATGTATATTGTATGAAAAACAATTCTGTGTTTTAGTCTATTACTTTACTCTGAATTGACATTTTTTATTGTTTTCTTTAATGAGTATTAAATAACTACAGAAGAGAATTACTTTTTGTAGCAATGTAAGTTTTCTACATAATAAGTTGTGTTTTTATCTTCTACTTTAAGTTATATATTGAAGCAGCAGATATTGTCGAATCCCTAGGCAAACCTGAATGTGAAGAATTTCTCCCACGGTAATACTGACATTTTTGTTGCTTTTTTCTTAGTTGTATGTTTATAAGAGGCAACCAGATTAAAAGTTTTTGTTCAAATATGCATTTATTTTAGATATCTTTTCTTCTAACTCACCTCTGCAGTCATTTCTTCTCTATTTGGAGGTCAAGTGTCGTAATAATGCAGTATCTCTTTGCCACTTTATAAATGAGTATAAAACTTTTAAGTTGTATTTGGTAAGAATGATTTGCTTTCAAAACACCATTCTGATTTTAGATGAAAACAGTTGCTACTTGAAGCTTTTATTTATATCAATCATTCTTCACCTTTTTGGATCACAAATCTCTTTGAGAATCTGATGAAAGCTTATGGATTCATTCTTCCAAAAATACACATAACCCATAGTTCTGCCTTCAATTTAAGTGAGTTAACAACTCCAAAGCCCATCTATAGACTTATCTACAACCTTTATTAAAAAACCCTGCCTTAAAAAGTTTTTTCTAGATAAACTAAGGTCACTTTCACTTAAGCCATTTGGACTTAGGTTGTTAAGTCAAATGGAAAAAAGAAAACGGTCTTTTCTCTTTCAAATAAGATAATTTATCCTTTAGTTTGGAGTATTCTAAGTACAATATTAAATTGGTACTAACATTAATGAAACTAATTTTTTTTTTATGCCTTTCTATTTTCTTGGTATGTGTTGTTTTCTACAGAGGAGATAGATACGATGCATTACGAGCCTGCATTGGAGACACTTTATGTCGGAAGCTACAGAATTTGAATATCTTTTTAGTAAGTAGGAATAATGATGAGAATAAATGGTACAAACTGCTATTGTATATTAAATTAATTTATTAAAGGAAATTTTAGTACAGTTTCTAACTAACAGAGTATACATTCAGAAAATATTTGAAACAGGAGTTTGCAGACTGTGGCTTGGAGACCAAATCCATCTTGCTGCCTGTTTTTATAAATAAAGTTTCACTGCAACACAGCCAGGCCCATTTATTTATATATTGTCTGTGGCTTCTTTCGTACTATAATGATGGGGTTGAGTAGTTGTGACAAAGACCATATGGCCTACAGAACCAAAAACATTTACTGTCTAGCCCTTTACAGAAAAATTTTGCCAACCCATCATCTAGAGAATTAATATGGGGGTTGGGGGAAGGGGGTACAGCTCAGTGGTAGAGCACATGCTTAACATGCACAAGGTCCTAGGTTCAATACCCACTACTTCCATTAAAAAATTTTTTTAAAAACCTAATTACCCCCAAAAAAGCAAAAAAGAATACATGTAAAAGTAAAAAGTGAGTATAATAGTTTTGAACATTAAATGATTTTCTAGAAATATATTAAAAATTGTGAATGGAGGGGTTTTTTTTTTGTTACCAAATAAAGGAATATATAGATGGATCTGTCTTTCTTAAATGTCTTAGTGCATTGGCAGGGAAGCTCTCCCCAATAGCATAAAACTTCTTTTCTTGCCACTTACTTTTTTAAATTATTATAATCAATCCTAAAACTACTGCTGATTTTTAATATTCATTTTTAAAATAATATTTTGAAAATCAGTTATCGCTGAGCTTTTACATACATATAGAATCCATTAGTTTTTACTTAAAAGTATTAGAACAGTTATATTCACCAAATAAGTTTAGAAAATTGTTTATAAATAAATAATGTTTTCCATTAAAGTGTTGCACTGTTTTGTTCTGTTTGTTTCCAACTTATATAAAAAATGAGCTCAATCTTTGGCATTTGTTTAGTATATTAGAATGTCTTCTGTTTAAAGGAATTGTATTATGCTTTTCCTTCTATAACACTTAAAACGGCATCATAAATCATTAAATATTTTAAAGTAAAATTAGTCATAAATGTTTAAATTATTTTTTAAGTACGCATTTATTACAACTTAACATTTGAAGAAAATTAAGATGAAATTGCTATTTTGTAAGTAGACGTTTTCATTTTATTTAATCTGATACACTTTATTTTTCTTCTCCATAGGTAGGATGTGGAGCCATAGGCTGTGAAATGTTAAAAAATTTTGCATTGCTTGGTGTTGGCACAGGCAAAGAGAAGGGAATGGTAAGCTCTAAATCCTTGAGAGTTTAAAGTTTAGATTTCTGTGGCTTCTCAACCATATTTGACTGCATGGATCTAAAATATTGATTTTTGAGGCTAGAGCAGTAAGCTAGAAATTGGAAGATACTGACTCTGTGACCTTGTGTCAAATTACTTGAATTTTCTGCTCCTCAGTTTCTTTCTCTAATACTGTAAAACTGATGTCTCTACTGCTTCTCTTATGATGTGTTATGAAGATCAAATGTGATGAGAGGGCTTTGTAAGTATAAACACATTAATATTGTTGTTATTTCTATTAGATACTACTTATTCATTACTAAGTAAATGTTTAAGATGGGAGAAACTAACATTAGATGGTTGCAGAGAACTCAAATATTGTTTCAATTGGTGATAATCAAGAGTGAATAATATGAGTATAGTTTAAATTCTTAAGACGATAAATGTGAGCTAATTAGGAAGCCACATCATATATTTAAATAAAAATGTTTTATTGATGCCATTTGCCTTTAAGATGTAAGCTACAGTAGTGATTTCATAGATTTATTATAGTGACTAATAGTAATTAAATTACTAAAATTTATGTAATAGTTCACATTTTATAGTTTATTACACTTGGCTTAGTATTCCACTCAAAAAGAATATTTGTTGGTATCACAGTTATGGGCAGATGTCCTACATTATATTATTCCTACTCAACATTTCCTAAATTGTGTCACAAGCCACTATTAGTTCTGGGAGTTTTAAAAGATATTTCTAAAAGAAAAACCCCTTGGTTACACAAGTTTGGATATCATCTAAATACTTTATTACTTAGAAATTTATAATGCATATCAGCAAATAGAGGTCAGAAAAAGAACCATAGTAAACAAACCTACTTATTACAGGTAACAAAACAAGGTGAGTTAATGTGGACAGATCTCTAATCCTACTGCAAATACATGGTCTTGCTATATAAATTATTCTTTTTTAAAGTGTTCACATATGTAGCCAACTAATTAGAGTGGAGGAAAGAGAAATCCTTAGGTTCCAGGATCCAAGAGGTAAGTTAATTCCTGAGCCAAAAGTTGTGGTAACTCACAAGTGTTTCTATCTTGAATATGTATCCAAAACATTAGCTAAAAAGGGAAGTCATTTGTGAGAAATTGTAATCAAGAGCATGTGCCACACTGGTGCATGGCGTCCATATAATTATATCATATGAAAACTTCAAGCAGAGAAATGAGTGTAACAAATTTAGGACCACTGAAAAAACCTTTAGAGCTCTGATTTAAACAAATGCAAAACTGCATCATGGTGATACTTACACACTGAGAGTACACAGGACTATGCAGAGAAATCAATATCCATTCAAGACAATTCACAATGAAAAATGACAGTCTACTAATAAAAAGGTACCACCTCAAAGAACCAGCTGATGAAAATTGAAGAATTAGCTCTCTAAGAGCGTACAGATGATAGGAATACTATGGATAATAGAACAAATAAAGTTTAAAGTTAAAATGAACAAAGGTATAGAAAAAAGGATAGAAACATGAGGGGGGAAAATGCACTGAAATTTTAACAACAAGCCAAGGAAGAATTTCTATGTAGTCAGTGAACCTAAAATTCAAATACAGCTGAAGTGAGAATTGACGAATAGAAGATAAATAAAAATACCCAGAATGTAATGCACAAAGATTCTTTTTTTAATGAAAGAAGATGCATTTGCATGGTCCAACTTAAGTGTAGTAGAACTTCCAGAGAAAATAAAGATAATAGAAAAGAAGTAATATATTCCAAGGCTAATAACAAGTTTCCAGAGTTGAAGAGACAAGTTGTTCAAATTGAAAAGGTAAACTAATACCAAACAAATCAAAGGCAAAGGCAAAGATAAAAAGATTACTAACAGACTTCTCATCATCAATAAATGCACACCTGAAGATAAAGAAGCATATTTCTTCATAGTGCAAGGGATTATCAACCTAGATTTCTATACCTAGCTAAATTATCTTTCAAGAGAAATAAAGATAACTGACAAGTAAAATGATGAAAGATTACCACTTACTTGTTGTCATTGAAAGAACTGTGGATTAATAACATGGGCAGTGTGTGAAGCAGAGTAAGTAGAGGCATTTGTCAACGTTCTTAAATTTAAATAAGCATTGATTTTTAAAACCTTTAATTAAAATGTTGACCAATTTGGGGATGAGATAGTTAAAAATTAAGTGTTGTTTGATATCATGGAAAATAGAAGGGAAAGTTCAAATATTCTCTAATTGTTCAGAAGGAAGATAAAGATTTTTAATTTTAGATCATGTACTTGTTAATGTACATGTGGTACATGTGGTTTGGAGAATAACCACATAAAAATAGAGGTTTAACTTCCAGACCAGTTCAGTGAGGGGTTGGCAGGAGGTTGAGGGAGGATTAAAACCAAGAAAACTTGACCAATCCAGTAGAAGACAGAAAAAAAAAAATGGGAATGGATAAAAAGTGGGATGGAGGGAGGTGGAAGAAAAGCCTTTTATCAGTAATCACAATAATTAGGTACTAATTAAGCTTTCTGTTAAAACACATTTTCTGTGCTTTTTTTCCCCTTTTAAGAGACACCCTCTAAACATAATTACATAGAACTATTGAAAACAAATACACACACACACCAGGGAAATGCCAGCTTAAAAAAAAGTGAATGTCACACACACACACACACACACACCCCCCAGGGAAATGCCAGCTTAAAAAAAAGTGAATGTGTCTCTGAACATCAACATCTAACAACTAGAACACACTGAGAAATACTGCTCCTAGTGAAATCACAAATACTAGCTTAAGTGGCAAATGCATTGTGAATACTCTTTAAATTATCTTGCATCTGTTTACTTTTATCTTGCATCCTTTAGAATGGGGGTCTGCAAACTTTTTCTTAAAGGACCACACTGCAGCTGTTGTAAGCCTAAATACTGTTAAGTTTGTCACAACTAGTCAGCTCTGCCATTGTAGCTTGAAAACAGTCATAAACAATACTTAAACAAATGGCATCACAGGTGTTCCAGTAACATTTATTTACAAAAACCGGAAGCCTGCCTACACTGTAGTTTGTAGACCTTTGCTTTCGCAAGAGTTTCTTTCAAATAGAAACATGGAAGCATTCTTTCCAAATTGGTTAAAATTGAGAATAAGTATGTACAGAAAGAAGAGCTGTCTTCTATTGCTATTCTGTTACATGTTTCCAAAATGATAGTGATGTTTAGCCTCAATTTTGTTAATGATAGTTAGAAAAAGTTTTGAACATGAATTGCAGTTTGGTTTCAAATGGTTTAACATGTTCCTGTGCTAAACATTAATTATCATTAAATGTAAGTATAAAAAGAGTAGTATTTGTAACCAGTTTTGGATTATTTGTTTTCTTACAACTTTTACCAGGCAAAATAATTTAGAATAACTTGTGGGAGTTGTTTTAGTCATTCACAGAAAAGCAAAGTAGATTTAAATTTATTTCTTAAGTACTTTCATCTTTTTTTTTTTCTTGTATTAGGTTACAGTAACAGATCCTGACTTGATAGAAAAATCCAACTTGAATAGACAGTTCCTGTTTCGTCCTCATCATATACAGGTGTGTTGTTACACTGTTTCAAATTTAAATCATCTATTATATTATACAAAAAAAAGGGAATTTCCTTTTTATAAATAGAAAATGGTGCTTGAACAAGCATAAAGTGTTCTTTATTTTATTAGAATCTCTCAAATTATCAAATAGTGGGAATGACAATAGGGAAAATATATAATTTTTATATAAATAATACTTTCGCATATTAAAATCTGAGTTGTGAATCATGGGCAATAATGGGCATGTTTTTTCATTTTTATAATCAGGATTTGACTGTGTATTTAATCTTAGAAACATCTAATGATATAGAAACAGTTTCCGTAATATGAAGTGTTTATGGATGACAAATTCGACACTCTTATTTTCCATCTTTATTACAAAGCAAGTAAAGGTTAGCAGTTAGAACATTTTGCTCTTTTGATCTTTTTTAATTATTTAACATCCCTTTTTACTATAAAGTACTATTTGCTTTAGTCTTTTTTATAGAGATCAAAATATTTAAGTCAGGAAAAACAGTTTAGTCAGTCAAGCAAATTTGTGTTTACTTTGGAAATGTTTTTCATTTTATTCTATAACTCATTAATAATCTTAGTAAACTAAACTTAGAAGTGTCATGAACAGAAAGTAATTAAAGCATACTTTTATGTAGTTATATAGTGACATAGTTAACCTAACAGTCTTACCAATTCAAATATAACGAGCTAAGTAACAGGGTCTCTCATGAAGCTAATTTATGTCACAAGATTAATTCACTGAACTTTATGCAGTTTACTTACAGAAGAACTATTAAGGCCTGTTTGTTTTAAACATCTAACGAAGTTTACAATTTGTATGTATGCTAATAGCACTGAAAGTAAAAACACATCAGCCTAACAGTATGAGAAGAGGCAGATACCATTAAACTAGATGCATGAATTTAAACAGAATGGTCTATAGATATTTAGTGTCAGAGCCAGTACTCTCAAATGAACTTTGATACTGCTTGAAATGACACCATTGGTTTAATAATGATCACTAAATCTTTAAGGAAAGAAAGAGTACTCTTTTTAAAACTAAAATATATAATAATAATTTTTAAAATATTTCCATCTAAAAATGGTAAAATTTTAAAGAGATTTTAGTACCAAAGTATTAAATTACCATACCTCTGAGAGTTCATCTTCTGTAGAGCTTGGATTTCTAATATTTTACTGAATGTGTTCTTATTTTTTATCTAGGCACACATCCAATTCAAACCTCACTACTAGGGAAAAATGTACTTTTAATTAGACTTCAACTAATATTTTAAGAATTCTAAAGCACTTAGCTATAAAAGGGGTTGTTTAGGTTTTTATTAATAATGTGTGAATTATTCAAGCTAATGTGGATTATTAAATGTAGCATGACCACAATGAATGTAATTTCCACAAACTAAAAATGAAAAGTGGTCTCCTTACATTACTCTTCAAACATAAAATGTGTTAAGTTGAATCATGGCCTATATTTATCCTGTTTAATATTCATTTCTTCTGTTTTTAAATATTATTTGTTTAGAAACCTAAAAGCTATACTGCTGCTGATACAACCCTGAAAATAAATCCTCAGTTAAAAATAGATGCACACTTGAACAAAGTATGTCCAGCCACTGAGGCAATTTACAGTGATGAGTTCTATACTAAGCAAGATATAATTATTACAGCATTAGATAATGTGGAAGCCAGGAGATATGTAGACAGGTATGTTCTTGAAATTCAGGTTCGTAGAAATTGTCTCTCTTTTGTTTCACTTCATCTCCCATACCTGTTTATTGAAAAGTTAACTGAATTTTCTGATAATTCTTTATGTTTTTATTATAGTTCTCTTCAAACCCAAACCATTTGATGGTCTCTCATTACACCTAGAATAAAATTTAAAATCTTTATCATGGCCTAAATGGGTTTCATATAGTATCTGCTACCTGTCCACCACTCGAGCTTAAAATTTCCTGTATCTCCCTGGCTCCCCTTATTCTTTCTACACATTCTTTCTTTCAGTTCTTACAGGGGGCATCCATTAATTTTTCACCTCAAGTACTTGCACATACTCTCCTTCAGTCTCAGGAAATTTTATTTTTCTTATTTTAAAACTCCTGACCCCAAATCTGCCTACTTGCTCTTCACCTCTTTTAGCTTTTTTTCCCTCATTCTTTCAATTTCAGCCTGACTGTCTTTATTCAAACAGGCTTAAGTTTGGTCCCTCATTATATCATTTATTCAGGGTTTGTTTATTTTTCCATCACTGTATCCTCAAGTGCCCAACACAGGATGTCATTCAGTAAATATTTGTTAAATAAGTAGATAAATAAATGACTATCATGTATACACTTTACATAATCTTTCTTATTTCTTTATATGACCTTTAATGCTAGAGTACTAGAGCAGATTTATTAACGGGAAAATTTACCAGTTGAGAATGCAGTAGAAAATTTGTAAGCTTGGGCAGAGGAAGGCAAAAAGAAACTTTAAGAAATTGAAGTTATAGAATATAGATATTTTAAGTATTGAGAAAGAAGGTTTGGTATAGAGAAAACATTGAAAAGATACAGTGAGATAGAGCTTATAGTCAGAAAATAACCAAAGAAGAAATAGAAAGCAAGAGAAGAAAGGGTAACACATTAATTAAGAGTTAACTGAGAGGAAAAAAAGTTGAAACTCAAAATTTGATAGGAGTAGTAATAGAAGGTAGAGACTAAAATTGCTAGGTTGACCAACAGAATTTGGGAGGGAGGGGGGTGGAAATAATAGATTGTTTGGTGGTAATGTATCTGTTTCCTAAAATATTACATTCAAGAAGTGATCAACCTGTGAAATGATCAGTAGAGAATGATAAGATGTCCTCTGCTTACATTGTTGTTGCTCACTTTTATGTTTGTAATCTATTTTCTTTTCAAATAGCCGTTGCTTAGCAAATCTACGGCCCCTCTTAGATTCTGGAACAATGGGCACTAAGGGACACACTGAAGTTATTGTACCTCATTTAACTGAATCCTATAATAGTCATGTAAGTGAGCCAGTTTTTTAAATTAGTAGATATCTCTTCTTTATATCTCATAATTTTTATGTTTCATGGTTTATCCAATTCATCAGTCAGGAAATTTGGTTTAGTGTCTTTAATCCCTTTTGTTTTTGATCTGCCATTGATGTCTGTGCATATGTTCATGGACACTTTTTGTAGTGTAGCTGAACTTATTTATATTAATCATCAGAATTTTCTTTCTGGTCTTTCCGGAATCTTATTCTTATGTTTACTGTTTATTTCTCAGAGCTACTTGATTAGTTTTCTAACAACTTTTGAACTGGTGACCCACTCAAAATCTTACGACCCAGTTTCTCTATAGGAGGGACCAAGCCATTTATATACATTTATTTTATATAAATGATGTAGATACAACTTTTTTTAACCTCCACAAGTGATTTTGCGATATTGCCAGAGTTGAAAACCACTGGTCTAGGAAATAATTGTAGGCCTTAGGATTTAAAAAAAGTCAACCCAAGTTGTAAAATTAAGAGAAGAATATTATTTTATAAGCATGTGTCCCTTTATTTAATGGCCATGTTTGTTTTAGTAAATTTTTAAAATTTTTATAAAATGTTTTCTCCTTTACTGTCATGAAATCAGAAATTTATATAGCAAAAACATTATAGTAGACAAAATTGATCAGTTTAATTTGAAGGAAATTAGATGGAGAAAATCATGATATGCTGGGGCCATACTGAAAGATTTTCAAAGTAGAGTATGTTATAAAATTCTAAAAGTTCCCTTGATTCTCTCATTCTACCACATCTTTCCTAAACCTCTTGTATTTACATTCTCAGACTTCATACTCAGGAAAGTCAGAATTGAATACTCTTCTGGCTTTCCTCTTTGATTTCTAAAGTATTTCATGATATTTATAGATCAACAAACTAAAATACAAATCTCTAAGTAGAGACAAAGTGAGTTGTTTTAGATTGGGTAAACCAATAAGGCTAAATGTACCCTTTAATAGAATATAGATTCTTCAATGATAATTTTTCACGTGGCATAATACAGACATTTGCCATTTATTTAATACGCACTTTGTGCAAGAAACTGTAACAAGCATCAAGAACATATGATTCCTGCTTCCAAATATTTTTTCTCCATGGAGAGAGAAACTTACGGTATGCTGAACATCAAATTGGAAATTCTTGAATTACTTTTCAAAGTAAGGAGTGTTGTAAATTTTTAAATGTCACCTTGATTCTTGGAAGAAAAAAAAGTTAATTATATATGGTAGTTTGTTATGAGTACTACATGGTGCCAAAGGAGTACACAGATAATAAGTGTTAATAGAATTCATTGCTATAACAAGTGGGTTAAATGTCAGAAGAATCAGCTTTTCCTCTTAATGCCTAGGAAATAGAATATTAAAAAAAGTTGGATTTATTTTATTTTTGAATTTTATTTTTTCATAGTCTTAAAACACTTAAGTAAATTCAATCCTTAAAAAATTGTCATTGCTTCTCTTTATTATTGTCATATTTTATAAATTAGCGGGATCCCTCAGAAGAGGAAATACCATTTTGTACCCTAAAATCCTTTCCTGCTGCTATCGAACACACTATACAGTGGGCAAGAGATAAGGTAATAAAGTTTTTTTAAAGAAATTTTTCTTTGAAGTAGAAAAGACAGTATTTCCAACTTCTAAACAGACTTCTATTTGTAATTTTTTTTCCTCTTTTCCCTTATAGTTTGAAAGTTCCTTTTCCTACAAGCCTTCAATATTTAACAAATTTTGGCAAACCTATCAATCTGCAGAAGAAGTCTTGCAGGTAAAAATCCATACATTTTAATATAAACTCAACATTTTATGTCAGGGTAATCTTATTTTCAAGTTGCCTATAGTTTATTTTACTTCCTTAAACAGAGAGTATAACATTATTATTGTATATAGTAAGTGTATGAGGAATCTTGAAATTAATGAGCAGGTCACAAATGACGCTTCTTTTTTTTAGTTTGGTTGAACTATGTGGAATTGCCAATATTTGACTATGTTAGACTCACAGAACAGCAATTCATACGGTTCAACCTAATAAGGATGTGGTAATAATGATCAGACAGCTACAAATAATAAAACAGATTATTAAGATCTTTGGGGAAACCAAGTTCTAGTGAGAATTTCATGAATGGACAGTAGTCTCCAATTTATTACTTTCATGGTGAGGGCAACTTCAAAGCTATTTTCATATTTTCCTGTCCTACACTAAAAAAGGGTAACTTTTTAGTATGAAAGATTGCTCATAGCACTTCTTATATTAAGTACTTATAATGTACTAATAACTTATAACTAGGAAGACATGAGGATAACTTGTGAGACACGAAACTTAGAGTTAAAATTTCACATGTTGTCTTTTTCCCATTCCCCCTCCAAAAAAAAAAAAAAGGTAGAAAGATAGAGACAAGTTTCTTAAGGTAAAAAAATTAAATCACGAGATACATGCGCTGACACTTGAGACTTTGGCTAACTCTTCCTGGGAATGTGTGTGTGTTTAATTAATTGGACATGTATTTGTTTTGTTTTGGTTTTTCTCTCATTCTAGAAGATACAATCTGGACACAGTTTAGAAGGCTGTTTTCAAGTTATTAAGTTACTCAGCAGAAGACCTCGAAATTGGTCCCAGTGTGTAGAATTAGCAAGATTAAAGTTTGAAAAATATTTTAACCACAAGGCAAGTGTACATTATAAAACAATAAGAAAAAGTCTAAACTTTTTCATTTAATTACTATGAAATTTCACTGACCTGAAATGTCTACTCTTTCTTTCAGGAAGCTTTTCAGAAATAAATAGTAAATTAACTGAGAACAAGTGACAGGCACACAACTAATTTCTCTTTTAATTAATGTTGCTGATTAAAGAATGCATTTAAACTTCACCCATTAGTTTGTCAGTTTTGCATTTAACTGATCCTTGTCTTTCTGTATACAGAATGGGTTTTAGTAAAATAGTAAAATTCTGCAGAATCAAATGAGTTATACATACAAACTATTTAGAATAGAACCTGGCCCATAAATAAATGCTCAGTAAAATTTTAGCTGTTATTCTTACTCCAGTTGTAGTTCTGAGAATGTGTCCTGCACTCTCTAGTTTCTCCCTCTCTTTGGGCTTTTACCTGTTGGAATACAAAATAAGTTCATCTTTTTCAAAAAGTCTTTTAACTGGGGAGGGTATAGCTCAGTGATAGAATGTGTGCTTAGCATGCACGAGGTCCTGGGTTCAGTCGCCAGTACTTCCATTTAAATAAGTAAATCCAATTACCTCCCCTTGAAGAAAAATAAATTTTTTTTAAGTCTTTTGATTATACTTATCCGTGCTTTTCACTTCCTTCTTTTCTCTGCTTCTTGGAAAAGTCTATACTTCTATACTCACTGTTACCAAGTCTTCATCCAATAAATATGTCTTCTTTCCCCACAACTATTGAAATTATTCTTACCATGACTATTAGTGACCTCATGTTCAAAGTCTAAAGAACTCTTCTTCTTCCTTATCTTCTATAGGTTTTCTTTTTAACTTTTTTTATTATGAAAAAATTCAACCACAGAATTGTTAAGAAAGCATGTAATGAACTCCATGTAATCCTCATATACTTGTCACCAGGTTTAACAATTACCATCTTGTAGGCAGTCTTGTTTCATCTACGATCACACCCAGTAGACCCTCCCACAAATGATTTTCAAGCAAATCTCAAACATATCTTTGCAAAATAAAAATATTATTTATTTTTACTGGTTTTATTTTTGTTTTAAGGATTAGCTCTTTGAAATGATTTGTAAAATATGCCACTATTGTGTAAAAAGGAATAAAATAATCTACATTCATGTTTGCTATAAATGCAAAAAAACCCTGTAAATGTTGATAAAAAATAACAAAAGAGGTTATTCCAAGGGATGGAGACAGTGAAAGGAAAATGGACAGATGGAGAACAAGGGTGACTGGAATACTTCACTGTGTATCTTTTTATGTATGTTGACTTTTTTTAACCTCGGTTAATATTAAATAGTGATTTTTTTTTAATTCAATTATTTCTATAGGCTCTTCAGCTTCTTCATTGTTTCCCTCTGGACACACGACTGAAAGATGGCAGTAAGTATAATAAAATATTGAGAAGAAAATTTAACACAATTTATTACTGGCTCCTGACACTGAAAATAATATTTGTATCTTTTGTTAGGTTTGTTTTGGCAATCACCAAAAAGGCCCCCGTCTCCATTAAAATTTGATCTAAATGAATCTTTGTAAGTATATATATCCGGTTTTACGTACATCTTTTATTGTAAACTTCCTAACTGTATAGGTTTACACTGCAGAGTGAAAACCTCAGGCTCTTTAATATAAAATTATTACATCTCTTTTAATCTAAGAGTTAGCATATCACTTTGGCCAGCAAAGCCTGCCACAGTTCTTCTCTCCACCCATAGGTGTATCTATTCATTTACATGGTAAATAACCTTGTTATTTTATCTTTTTTAAAGTGAACCCACAGTGTTATCTCTTTGACATTATTCATAAAAAAGTAAAATGAAAACAAATGTTTTCCTATTTTCATTAAATATGTAAGAAGTATATAAGAAACTTCAGTTAACTGGGGGAAAATTGTTACTATTGAATAACTCCCTAAATAATCTCAAATTAATTTTCAAAGGAGTTGATCTTTGAATAAATATCTATATATCCTGTCTATCTATGTGAGATATACATTGTACACACAATACACACTCTTATCTGTATGTATTTTAAATAACACTTACCTTGTTAACCTCCCTTTCAACAAATAACTGTACTTAGTTTTTTCATCTGGTGCTTATTCTAGGCACCTTATCCTGAATCCTGTAAAACTTACCTTTTTTGTTTTTAAACAAACTCATTTCTTAGTTTGAATCTATTATACACTCTTTAAAACCAAATCTGTAATATTTTCTTATGAATTAAAATGAATTGTCTTTCACTACCTTAATTTTTCTACTTCTAGCCACTCCCGTCCCCAAAGTAGTCTTGATTACTACCTGAATATTAGTTCTTATGAGGCTAAACATCTGATGTTTCCTCTTTTATAATTTCTGCAATTCCTTGGTCTAGACCAGAATTTCATTGCCTAACTTAAAAAAAAAATCCTGTAACAAAAATTCTGATTACTTAAGCATTTTAAAGGCTTTAGTTTCTGATGAATTAAACATCTTCTTTGAAACTGTGCATTCACGTTTTTATTCTTTAATTTCAAAAGGCACTTCAGTTTCCTTCTGAATGCTGCAAAATTATATGCTACAGTCTATTGCATTCCATTTACAGAAGAGGTAAGATACTCTTTGAGCCCTAACAAGTGATAGAAAAGGTTAGAATCAGATGAATTTGTTTAAATGCATCATCAAAATGTGTTTGTATATTATAAGAATCATTCTTTGATATAAGTGTTTTATTTTGTGATAGTTCTGCCTATTCTAATGTAGCAAAAGCTAAACTCTCATTGCAGCATTGCTAAGCAGAAGAAAGTCAGATTTTACTTTCTAAATTTAAGTATGAAAACAAATATTTACAAAAGCAGTCTTAGTTTATTTTTTAAAATGTTTACGATCTATTAACTTCAGTTATTGCAATTACTCTGAAAACCCAAAGTGACCTATTTTATAACAATTTTTAAATATACCTTAGAGAGTCTCTTTGTAAACATTTGTTTGGCTTATTTTGTGATATTAACTTACATGCTTTTCAGGAGATTTGAAAATGCTATCCCATATTGACATTTCTTAACTTTTATCATTTATACCTATTCTCTTAGATATCATCTTCGTTGACTAATAAATAAAGGATCTAATACAGTTTTATTTAACAGGCAGGTCTGCATTAGTGAATTTTTCTTCTCAAGTGCATAATAGAGTTAAATATATTGCTATACTTGTAGGTAGGCAGAACGGAAAAATATAAACTACATCCATAACTAACACTGGCTATTTTGGATCTAGATAAAAATGCCTGTTGTAAATTAATCCTTTTTGAGTTACCACACAGTGAAATATACCAGAATGTCTGGTAAAAAATGGTGGCATTCAGTTGAATACTCTTTTTCTGAAGAGTGGTAATTTTGTGATATGAATTGTAGGTGATTTCAAAAGCAGGTATGTCTCAGTTTTTTCTAAGCAAATTTTTAACAATGAATATGTATATAGCCTTAAATTTATCCAAGTTTATCTTGAACCATTTAAATGTTTTCCTGATTCCAGAGGTATGAATTCCGTATACTTACTTATTTTATTTACTATGTCAGTGTATATTGAGTATAGCTTTGTACAGGGAACTTTGTAAAACGGTTAAGAGAGAGTTCCCGATCTCAAGGCATTCTATATAATACTCACAGCCAATCCTAAAACTACCTATTTTAAAATGTAAAGAAAGAACTAAGATTTCAGGTTTGTTGACTAATAAAAACTTTTTTTACGCATACCACCTTCACCTTCCAGCCTTTATGGATGATATTTCTAAAGAAATAAAGGTAAATGTCACAAATAGATGTGATCTAAATAGTCAGATGATACTTTATTCAAATATTTTAGAATGATGAAGGACTTTTTTTAGGATGTTTTTAGATTTAGAATTCAGAATTTTTTAAATGTGTTGATAAAATTACTGTTTTAAAAACAGGACTTATCAGCAGATGCCTTGTTGAATATTCTTTCTGAAGTAAAAATTCAGGAATTCAAACCTTCCAACAAGGTATGTGTACAAACAAATTCATTCATTTAGCAAGTAGTTATTGAACTTCTACTTGTATCAAATCTCATTCCAAACCTGGATAACCCTGTAATGAACAAAACAAAATTCTTGTTCTTGTGTGAGTTATATTCTAATGGACCAGAGATGGACTATTAAAAATGCCAATAATTATTTGATACTTCATTATGGGCATAAGTGCTAATAAGAATTAAAACAGGGAGAACAAATAAAGGATGATGGAGCTGGTATCATTTTTTTATGAGATAACAAAGGGAAAGCTTCTCTGATATGGTAACATTTGAGCAGAAGCCTGAAGGAAGTGAGGGAGTGAGCAATGCTATTATCTGGTGAGAGAGAGGGCAGACAACAGGAACAAGTTCAGAGAAAGGCCTTGAAAGACTGAGAGCCAGGATTTTTCTGGAGGAGAATATGCAAAAGGAGATTGATAAACGGTGAGGTTGGAGAGGTAGTTTGGGTTATGATAAGTACTATGTGTTCTATTATGAGATAAGCCAGTGGAGCATTTTAAACAGAGGACACAATCTGACTTATATTTAAAACGATGACCCTGGCAAATTGTGTTAAGAATGATTGTATAACACATGAGAGAGGAAGTAGAAAGAGGTATTAGGAGGTTACAGGCAAGAGATGATGGTTTGAATTAAGTAGTGGGTAACAGGGAAGTTGTGTTAAGGGTTGGATTCTGTGTATATTTTTTAGTAACGCTGACAGGATTTGTAAGTGATTGGTTTGAGTGTAAGAGAAAAAAAGATTATTATTTTCTAAGTTAAAAAAAGAAATAGGCTTAGTAGCTTCAAGTGACAGGGAGAAGATAGAAGAATTTTGGAAAAAAAAATGATTGCCCAGGGGAGTGGGAAAAGTGGGAAATTAGAAGATATAGTAGGATTTCAAGATAGTATTGAGGATCCACTTAGTGTTAATTCCACTGAATATATTCCACTAAATGTAGCTGGAGAAAAAGCAGTTATCTACTTGGGTGCTACTGTAAAATAGCTGAAAAGTTGGGTTATAACAAGAGTTGGGATTTTGTCAGGCAAAAATATTGGATGCGGAAAGAGGGAATATTAATAAAGATGAAACATGAAATTTAAGCAGGGTAAATATGGAAAGTTTGAAAATACTAATATTTTCCTTTTTCACATGTTCATTATATGCTTTTTTGTGTGCACTATAAAAGAAATCATCCACAAAACAACCTTCTGTTCCCCTTACCCTTTAACTATACTGGAAAATGTGGAGTAATGACTGCCTCCCTGCAAAATTCAAGTAAGAAGTGGTGTATGCACTCTTCCACTCAGCATTTTTATTTTAGGGAAGAGGAAAACTTACAGGCAGTTTATTTTGTACAGGTAAATAGTTTTACTGAATGAAGTGTTCATGACTTCTAGCTTATGAAGAATATTAAGTACAGAAAGGAAAAACAAAATTCCTATATAAAGAAAATTCCTAGCCCATGTTTCTATAGGGCAAAACTGCTAGACAGAAGCCAAGGAAAAAGGCATCAATAACTTTACTGTTCTTAATGCCCTTCAGTATGTTTTCTAGCTTGAATTGCTTCTTTCTGTATTAAAGTTTAGGGGTAGTAAATTATCCTGAGCAGTTGAGCTACAATTTTAACATGAATTAATATGCTTTTTCACAGCTCCCTGGAGCACCTCCCACCGAAGCTTTAGGGTCTGGCACTTCTAGTTAGGAGATACCACAGCCAAGAATATAATCTGCACGTTCTGGCAAATATATATTACTGCTTCCTTGGCTCCTTAATATTTCTCAAATATTTATAATAATATTTAATATGTAAAAATATAACTTGAAAGTTTCTTGGCTTGAGAATATTGACTTCACTGCCCTCATGAAATATCTGATAAGTAATTTCTTAAAGATAAATTACTTGTATGTGCTGTCCTAAGCATGCAGCTATATGAAGGAAAACATTCTTTGGAAAAGAACTTCTTGTCCGCAATCAATAAATATTTAAAAGATGCCCATATTATGTATTTTATGGATTTCTTCAATTTCCTTGGAGACAGAAAAGAGCTCTGCACTAGCTAGAGCTATGTAATTTGTTTTGATGTTGATTTGTCAGAATCACAAACTGTTGATTAACATTAACTTATTTTAGTGTGAAATTTTAACAGAATTGTATGAACTCAGATCTTGGAAGCTATTCAGTAAGTATTTTTAACACTAACTGTGAACAAGTTTATTTTAGATATTTTTAGGTTCTCTCAGTGATCAAGAGAAAGATACCTGTTCTTAGAGTTTATACGTCAGTGTGAGGAGATAGATTATAAAACAGATATATAAATAATGTAGCATTACTTACCAGTGGAAGGTATAAAATACATTAGTCCATAATGATTAATAACCTGATTAAACTGGATAGAATATTTCTCTTTGTTACTTATTTGATAAAACAAATAGGATAATCATACTTAGGTGTAGGATGTGATGACATTAACGAATATATATATATACATATATTAAAAGGTTGTTCAAACAGATGAAACTGCAAGGAAACCAGACCATGTTCCTATTAGCAGTGAAGATGAGAGGAATGCTGTTTTCCAACTACAAAAGGCTATTTCATCTAATGAAGCTACTGCAAGTAAGGGAAAATCTTTATTGAAAATGTTTTGAACTGGAGAGATTTTTATTTTCGCTAACCTCTATACTCAAAAAGTTGTGGGATTAAATAATAATAACAATAGTAATATTACTTATTTCATATTCCTATGAAAGTCACTCTTCATCTTTAACCGTGACTAAATTCATCATTTTCTCTACCATTTGCCCTACCCTCAAAGCCTGAAATGTAAGTTTGCTTTGTTGTTGTTCTGATTGTTTTAGTCTGAAATTCTACTGTGTGATTCCTTCTTAACTTTTGGCTAGCATAGTGAAGAAAAATGGAGTATTTGTAGACACTAACCCTGGGTCCCAGTCACTTTAGGATAAAAAACCATAGACATTTCTTCTTGGCTTCTTAGTCTCCAAAATTGCACTCAGGAAATATAAACTGACCTAGGACATCGTTACTAAATAGTCTTAAATATAGGGAAACTGAACTTTTAATTCCATAAAAACACTATTTTAGCTCTGTGTTATTTCATGTTTTTAGACCTGCTCATCATCTTTTTACTACATAAATCAGCAGTTTCCAAACTTTGGGGATTTTATGCAAAGACCGTAAAATTCAGGGAAAAAAAAATAGATTAGCCAACTGTTTATTTTGCAAATAAAAGATTGTTATCCTAATTTAATAATTATAATTCTAGAAAAAACTTACTGTCATATCTTACTTTTTCATTTCATCACATATCAAGCTACACCTGTCCACAGAATGATACAGGGAACCAGTAATCTAGAAATGTGTCAAAAAGATACTCATTTTTATTTGATCAGCTGACCCTGTTCTTAGTTATCAGAGTGTTTCAGAGTAGTATTTATGGAATCAAGTTTTGAACAGTACCCAATGTTGACTTTTTTTTATTGTAAACCACTTAATAGCAGTTATACATGGCTTTCTTATTTTTCCGTTTTTTAGAAAGTTTTTTTAATATAGAAACTTCTCTAATTTAGTGGTGTTAAAGCCATCATTTTCATGTTCTTCAAAAACTTCAGTTCCTTGAATTTTTTTGTTGTTCAGTCATTTAAAAACCTAAACAAAAAGGACTCTTTAACAGTAGTGAACCCACATTGCTTTTTACCTAGTAAAGCCCTTACCACTTACTAGGAAACTTTGTTTTTCTGGTTGTTACCGTCAGATGACCTTCAGATGGCAGTGCTTTCATTTGAAAAAGATGATGATCGTAATGGACACATAGATTTCATCACAGCTGCATCAAATCTTCGTGCCAAAATGTATAGCATTGAACCAGCTGACCGTTTCAAAACAAAGCGCATAGCAGGTAGAATTATACCTGCTATAGCAACATCCACTGCTGCAGTTTCTGGCTTGGTGAGATTATTATTCTTTGAAAATGCTTCTTTTTCATCACTTCTTTCCTTTCTTCCCCATTATACTACTCGCAACCAGTCACTCAGATCTTAGAGAAGGCAGAATACATATTGATCTTATAATTTAAATTTGTAAGGTATTTCTGAAAATACAGTAATCTGTACTTTGAGCTTTTAAGATAATACAAACATTTTAACATTAAAAAAAAAGCTCTGTCAAGATAGAATATAATTTTTCTTACAGACAGTGATCATCTTCATCATCTTTGTATCTTCCATACAAACCAAGTGCTCTTGTTTTTCTTGAATAAAATGAACTACCATAATCTTTGTTATTTGATTATATTGGATTTTAGTTCTTTGCCTTAAAATAAATATAATTCCTGTTAGTGATTTGGATTTCTTTCAATTTAGTTTTTTCTTAATGATTTAGAATCTTTAGAGTAGCCCTAGTTATTTTACTGTACCATAGTGTTATTCTTAAAAGCTATGTAATTATTTTTCCTATTAAATGATTTTGGACTGCTATATTTCTTGAGCTCTGCTGTTTGCTTTCGAAGTAGGAAGATTACATGGTCTAATTAATTTTTTTGATAACTTTGTTTAACATGTGCAGAACAGGTTGAAAGTTTGAAAGTGTGAAATAGGCTAAGTGGAGAGACTTAAAAGAAATTTATATTACTCTAGTCCAAAAGCTGCTTTTATTCCTTTTTTTAATTTTAATTTTTTTATTGAAGTATAGTTGATTTTGCTTTTATTCTTCACACAGAAATGCTTGAAAAGAATTCAAGAAAATTATATAGATGCAGTTAAATTCATGAATGGTGTTGGGCTGTTTATATAATCAGATCACCTTCTTTTACCTAGGTTGCACTGGAAATGATCAAAGTAGCTGGTGACTACCCTTTTGAAGCTTACAAAAATTGTTTCCTTAACTTAGCCATTCCAATTATAGTGTTTACAGAGACATCTGAAGTAAGAAAAACTGAAATCAGGTATGTATGAAGGTCTTTTGCTTTTGCATAATGAAAATAACATACCTTTTTTTTACATTTTAAAAGAGAAAAGTAATAGTTTCATCTCTCCTTTTCTTCGTATATATAACACTTTCCAGTACTTCAGGACAATGCTACTTCTTCATGTAGCATTCCTCTCTTCTCTTTTTTTTTAATTGAAGTATAATTGACATTCAACGTTAGTTTCAAGTGTACAATATAACGATTCAACACCTGTATATGTTGGGAAATGATCACCACAGTAAGTCCAGTCACCATCCATTGTTACAAATAGTTGCAGAATTTTTTTTTCTTCTGAAGAGAACTTTTAAGATTTACTCTCTAAGCAACTCTCAAATATGCAATACATATTATTAAGTATAGTCACTATGCTGTGCATTACATGCACATGACTTACTCATCTTACAACTGGAAGCTTGTGCCTTTTGATTCTCTTCACTTACTGTGCCCACACGCCTACCCCGTTTCTGGCACTTTCAGTGTTCTCTTTATCTATGAGCTTGAGGGTTTTTTAGTTTTTGTTTGGTCAGTTGGTTGGGTGTTTTGTTTGTTTCTCTTAGATTCCACGTGTACGTGAGATCATAAAGTATCTGTCTTTCTCTGTATAACTTATTTTACTTAGCATAATGTCCTCAAAGTCCATCCACGTTGTTGTACATAGCAGGATTTCATTCTTATGGCTGAATAATACTCCATTGATATAATACCACATTTTCTTTATCCATTTATCCACCTGTGGACACAGATTGTTTCCGTATGTTAGCCATTGTAAATAATGCTGCAGTGAACATGGAGATACAGATCTTTTCAAGTTAATTTTTTCATTTTCTTTATATAAGTACCTAGGAGTAGAATTGCTAGATCATATGGTAGTTCTATTTTTAAGTTTTTAAGGAAGTTAACATATTGTTTTGCATAGTTGCTGTATCATTTTATGTTCCCACCAAGAATGTACAAAGGTTCCAGTTTCTTCACATCCTTGCCAACACTTGTTATCTTTTGTTTTTTGATGATAGCCACCCTAACAGGTACGAGGTGTTATCTCATTGTGGCCATTGATTTGTATTCCTCTGATGATTAGTGATATTGAGCATCTTTTCGCATACCTGATATGGAACATGTTTTCACATGCCATCCATGTCTTTGGAAAAACGTCTGTTCCAATCCTTTGCCCATTTTGTTATCGGATTGTTTTTGTTTTTTGTTCTTTTTACTATTGTGTTGTATGAGTTCTTTATATTTATTTTGTATATTAACCCCTTATCAGAGAGATGATTTGCAAATATTTTCTCCCAGTTGGTAGGTTGCCTTTTCATGTTGTTGATGTTTTCTTTGCCGTGCAGATTTTCAGTTTGATGTAGTGTCACTTGTTTTTTGTTGTTGTTGTTGTTGTTTTTTACTTTTGATATGAAATCCAAAAAATGAATCACCAAGACTAGTGTCAGGGAGCTTACCACCTAAGTTTTCTTCCATAAGTTTTATGGTTTCAGATCATTCAAGTCTTTAATGCATTTTGAGGTAATTTTTGTGCATGGTGTAAAAGTCCAGTTTCATTCTTTTGCATGTGACATGAAGCATTGCTGACTAAACTGCCATAGAACTCTCACACTTAATCTGTCACACTGTTTAGCATTGTACTTTCTTATGGTTTCATCTATGTCTAGCTAAATCAGATGAATTAAAAGACACTCCAGTGTCTGACTAATGGGGTAATGAGATTAAAAATCTAATTCCAAAAGCTATATGACAAAGCAAAACAATTCCCCTGGACTTCCATTTTTCACTTTTTAAATTGGTAACAATCAGAAATTTGAAAACTGCTATCTTGGCAAGAATGTAAGAAAGCACTCTCATACATCACTGGTGAGTGTATAAAATAATATAACCCATAATAAGGCAAATATAGCACTATATTTCAAATTTACAGATACATTTACACTCAGCTCAAATTATTTATGTACCGGATATTTATTCTGGCATTATTTATCACTGCCAAAGATGGGAACAATCCAGGTGTTCATTAATAGGAGACTGGAACATCCACACAGTGAAACCCATGCAGCTATTTTAAGAGAGAGAGACAGAGAGACAGAACTCTCTTGCTAAGGCATACTTTATAATGAGACACTGGGAGGATCAACAGGGTACTGATAAAAGTGGTTACCTGTGTGGTGTGATGGGGAAATAAGATAATGGAATATTTTTAAAGTTATATTTTTCTTTTTTCTCCCACATTAGTATCTAGCTAAATCACAAATAATTGACTTCTGGGGTTTTATGTTATTACTAAAGGGAAGAAAATGTAAATGTTTTTGTTCTGAATATTTTTCTATAACAGAAATGGAATATCATTTACAATTTGGGACAGATGGACTATACATGGCAAAGAAGATTTCACCCTCTTGGATTTCATAAACGCAGTCAAAGTGAGACAATTATTCATTACAGTCGTTTTGAGTCTGTTAGTTTTTATGCATAATTTCATAACAGTTTTTATAAATATTATATAGCAGGAGTTTGTGCTCTTTCTACTGGTTGTAATTCATTGTCACCCAGCATTTTATATTTGGATGAGGCTTTGATCATTTCTCTTTTGGGTATGCACTTTTAGGAGAAGTACGGAATTGAGCCAACGATGGTGGTACAGGGAGTCAAAATGCTCTATGTTCCTGTAATGCCTGGTCATGCAAAAAGATTGAAGTTAACGTAAGTGTCGGACATTATATGCAATAGATTCTCAAGAATTGAAACATAAGCTGAATGTACACTAGAGAATTAAATATAGAGGTTAATGAAGTTCAGATAAAATATGTGATTTACTCCTATCTAATGGCAGTAGTAAAGACATGAATCTACCAAGCTCCACAGGCTACCTATCAAGTGAGATTTATAGCATTACAGTGCTCTTGTGAATTTATTGTAGTTCAGAGTCAGCTTTTAAGCTAATAGGCTTAGAAACCTGATTTGGTCAATAGACGAAGTAAAAGTAAATCCACCTCTTATATGGGAACACACACAAAGACTAGGCTTATGAGGCTGAAGTGTTTTTAAAAATGCCAAATTATTATTTTCATTCATTTATTCAGGTTTTTTTTTAAGAATGGCTGCTATATGCCAGGTGCTTTTGTAAGCATTAGGGATACAGCAATGAGCAAAGCAAAGTTCCTGCCCTCCCTGAAGAGTTTGCACAACCATTAGATATGTATGTCAGATGGTGGTAAGTGCTATGGAGAAATAAAGCAGAATAGGAGGTGTTAAGTTGGTACAGTTTATTGAGTAGTCAGGTATTCCCTCTGCCTGTCATATTTTCACCAGATAAGCTGGCATTTGAGCAGAGACCCAAAAGAAGAGAGGGAGCAAAAACAGCCAGTCTGTGCAGTGGTCTGCAAGCCCCTAAGTGATCTGGTTCCCACTTATCTCTCTAAGTTCCTTTCATACTTCTGTCCCCTTGTGTACAAGATTCCAGTTACTTTCCCTTGAACATTCCAGTCTTCAGCATGAGACTTTTGCTCTAGTTGTTCCATCTGTTTGCAACTCTTTCTGAGATGGCCATCTAACTCTCATCTCTGGTCTCTGGACTTCCTGAAGAGGCCTCTCTGAACCCTACTTAATATTAGCTTAGCATACCTAATCTAGCCCTTTGCTCTACTTTTTCTCTCTTTCATAGCATTTATCACTGTCTTATATCTACTATATTACTTATTATCTGTCTCCTCCCCCACTAGAACTTAAGCTTCATTCACAAGGGCAGGAATCTATATTTGATCTGGACATTGATGTGTCTCAAGCACCTAGACCAATGCCTGGCACATAATAGGCATGAGTAAATATTTGTTGTTCATTTTGCAGTATATACAAATATCAAATCATCACCTTGCACACCTGAAACTAATATAGTGTTATGTCAATTACACCTTAATAAGAAATTCTAAAACTTTTTACATGAAATTAGCATATAAAAATATTTGTCACAAATAAATGACCCTCTGCATGATGAGTGCCTCAACATGCTTGTCAGTTTAACTGATTATTAATAAGGTTAATCACATTTTTATTATAATCTGGGTTTAATTATCTATTTTTTAAATAAAATTACTATTATATTATTTATGACATTAATTTGCCTTATTGTTTTTCATTTAGATCCCTAAGTATCTTTTGGATAAACTGATAGTAGTGTTTATTGTTTACTACCTAGATGAGTGGAATGTTTGGTCCTGAAGTGCATTGATTAATGGAATTTAAATTTTACTGCAGATAATTCATGAAAATGCTTTATAGAGTTGGCCAGTATTTGAAACCTCCAGCATGATATGTTTTGAGAATGATACTTCTCATTTTATTACATTATGCATTTAGCAAATACTTATTGAGTACCTGTAAGTGGCTAGACAAACTTGACTTCAGAAAGACCTGGGTTGCCATCCTTGTGTAGCTCCTTAATTGTCTTGTCACATTAAATAGCTTACTGAACTCTTTTCAAACTTAGTTTTCTGTCCACATATAGGAATGATTGTGCCCAAGGCTATTGAGCATTAAAATAATAGTGAGGGCTAGCAGTGTTACAGCAAGTAAGAAGTATCCCATAAATGTTACTGCTGTGAATATTTTTTCATCTTGCATTTTATCAAATAGCCCTTGCCCTCAAGGAGTTTATAGTCTACTAAAGAAAAGTGACATGTTAGTAATAAAATGTAACTGAATAATTATTATAATAAAGTTTTTTACAGAACACTATGGGCACTAGTGTATCAAACTTCAGCTTAGGGTAAATTTCATTTGAGCTATCTTTGAAAAAGGATTACATCAGGCAAAAACAATAGTTTGTTCAAAATTATGCAGCTAATAAAGAGTGTACATAATCTATTTGGGAAATAAAGTTATCTGGAATGACTTACGGATGAGATGGTAAGAATGAATTGTGGGAAGAATGAAAATTTGTAGATGGGGCAAAATATCTTTGTAAAATGAAAAGAGCTGTTATTGAGGACTAAATACAGTACATAGTTCAGAGCCTAGCATGAGATAGATACATGATATATGATAGATAACATCGTTAGGCAGGAGAATAATGTCAGATTTGCATTTTAAGAAAATTCTGGCAGCAGAATATATTGGAGGTGGGAAAGAGACTGGAGGGAGCTGGCTAAAAGCTAATGCAGTAATCTGAGGGGTATATAGATGATGACTTGGTTTATGATAATATCAGTGACAGTAGCAAAAGTGAAGTGTTTTTTTAGTAAGCAGGATATACATGGGATATGAAGGAAAGGAAAAACTTAAGAATATCTTTTACGGTGATTTTTGTAGCTTGCACTTGAAGGTTTAAATCTGGCTTGATTTTTACTCTCTACATAGAAATGCTTGAAAAGAATTTATGCTTCCAGACTCCTTGCAGGACATTTGGTTCTGTTCAAAACATCCATAAAATATTTTGGTCCACACCAAAAATTCCTTGAAATTGGATCCATGCCAGGTGGTTATAGACAATCCCAAACGTCAAGGACTTTTTAGTGTGGCCCAGATGTCTTACAATGTTTTAGACAGGACCAAACAGTCCTGCAAATATCAAGGAACTTTTGGGGTGTACCAAACAGCTTATGAACCATATGGATATTTTGGACAGGGCCAGATGTCTGCTAACCCTCCAAACTTTATAGGGAGTTTAAAGACGAGTTGTTTTTTGTTTTTTGTTTTTTTAAAACACTGCTTACCTTTTGGGTTTCTTTGAGGGTGGTTTTTTTCTTTTAATAAATAGTCTGTATTCTTTATCAATACCATCAATGGTAAAAATTGATTAACTGTTAGGTAAATGAGTGTCTCGGTTTTAGAGCTTTTAGTAAAGAAGACAGTTATATGAAAGCAGGTGAATTACTAGATTTAAAAATAAATTTAAACAAGCCCCGATTCTTTGGGTAACATTGATCAGCAAATCACTCTTTCATTTTACAGAATTTACCAAATTATTTGTCCTTGCTTATTTTTCTTAGAATGCATAAACTTGTGAAACCTTCTTCTGAAAAGAAATACGTGGATCTTACTGTGTCATTTGCTCCAGATACTGATGGAGATGAAGATTTACCTGGACCTCCAGTAAGATACTACTTTAGTCATGACACTGACTGACAGAACTTGTCTTAAATTTACTCTAGGACTACTTGATTTTGGAAAGGAATGCATTCAATTCAGGAGCTAAAAAGATCAGCTCGTAATGCTATGGATTTCTGTTTGATGAAGCCTTAATTTAACGGAAACATCAGTGGAAAACTACACTGAAGATTTATAAAGCATTTTGAAGCATAGTATATACTTGTGTAGTGCTTCATGTGTGGATGTGATGCGATCACAAGCAACTTTGAACTGGAATGCCATTTTTTAATGCTTACAAAAAATTTGTGTATTAACCTCTCTGGATGAAAAGAAGGAAAAATGCATATCCAAGGCCAGAAGAGATAAAAAAAATCAAGAAATTGAAAGTGACAAGTGCAGCTATCCAAAAAGTTTAATCCTATTTTACGAATTTCTTTTTGTTTAGTATTTCAGGCCCATTTTTCTATACAAATAGCATTTGGCTCTATGCACCTCTCATGACTAGACTTTGGATTTAACACCAGTAGGAAGAGGAAGGATGATAACAGTGGTTGAAGAATAGACATTTAAAATTGTACAGTTTACTGTCCTATTACCTCTGCTAGTTTAACCAGTTTGTTTTATCACTGTCCCCTCAAAAGCAGGATCTTTGTTAATAGCATCAGTGTTGTGAGTTATGAGCGTGTCCAGTGATAGGTGTTAAACTGGATAAATGTTAACAATGTTATATGGACTCTGATGTCCTTCTTATAGAATCCATGAATGTGAACAGATAAATATGGCTAGTTATTTGATTCTTCAGTATGCCTTCTAATGTGGCTATTTTATTTATTTGAAACTCTAAACCTGATTGTCAGAGTATATAAGACTAAAAGTTTTTGTAGAGAGAGTGTCCTTAGAAATAGATGAAAAGTAGAAATTAAAAAAATTATCACTAGTTGAGTCTTGATTTTTTTTTCTTCCAACAACCTAATGGACAGAAAAAAACAATTTAATGTTTTATTTTAAAGGGAAATATATTATTTAATTCCACATTCCCAGAAAAGGAATTGACAAAGATAAAAATTTATATTTTTAGGTCTTTACTGATAGAAACTTTCTGTTTCTGATAAGAACTATTGCGAATGTTCATAGAAATAGTTTCATTAAAATGATGTAAAGTACTCAACACTGAATTCGGTGAAAATAGCAAATATTTCTTTCATTTCCTAGGCTACTATGCATTCTTAAGCAATTTGCATTATTTTACACAAAATAAGTTATTTCTCTCTAGCTACTTTCCTTCTGCTCTCCCGTTCAGACCATTAATAGGTACTTTGATAAATTAAAAACTAGATTCAGGCCAGTATTACTCCAGTTTGGTGTCTTTTCATACTCTGTACTTAACCTCCATTTTTTTCTGCTTACAAGTAGTTTAAATTACTTAAGTCAGCCAGCTCTATTGTTTCATTCTTTTGTAAAAGTGTCATCCAACTGGGAAAATATATTTGGGAGTGGAGGGTGAATTTGTATGATTAAAGGATGATCTTTGCATTGGAGGTGAGGATAAATGGACAGGATGAGTTTAAAGGAAATGGCTACCTTTCAAATAAGCAGTTTAATTTTGATTCACCATATCCTACCCTCTCCCATCATTTATATTACAAGTATAATGTTTAAAATTAGTATACTCAAAGTTGAATCCAGGAATATCAAAGCTCTATGGCTTGGAACTTCTCTAAGAAGCTAGTTTCCCACTTTCACTTGTTTTGTGCTCTATGACAGTGACTGGTATTTTCCCAGTAGTATTCAGTAATTCTCAGTTGTGATCTAATCACTTGTTTATATTTGATCTAAATCTCCACATCTCTTCAGAATTAAATTTAGCACTATGCTATCAGTTCTTATTTATAGAGATCAGTACTTTAGCAGATTCAAACAAAATTAACAAGGATTGAATTCATTTTATGATTAAACCTGAAACCATTTTGTCTTTTTTTTTTTCTGTAGGTAATGGTTATTGCCATTAATCTCTTCTATTTAGTTCTACTCAGCTGGAAAGCCAGTGTGAATTTAATGACAGTTTTTTCATTATCTGTTTTATTTCTGTACCATGAGATCACTGTTGGTGATTGAAATATCAGATGCAAAAATTAGTGATTAGACGGTACAACTGAGTGATTTTTTACTTATTAAAAATGATTAAGTAATTTGACAGTATCTTTGTAAATCCTGTTCCATAGCTGACTCCAGAGATTCCAGTTTTACTCTTCATTTTATGAGTAGTGTTGCCTTGGTGTTTCCTAGTTTTCAAGGTTTGCAATCATTGAGACACAACATTCACTGGATATGGAGGGACATTACTTTGAAGTGCTTTTGGCTCCGGGAAATTCTCTTAAACAGTTGAAGGGAATGGTGGTGACCTTGTAAAACCTAGAAAATCTGGTAAATCCTACACTGTTGATTGGGGATTTCTAAAGTCCATTCTTTTTTTAGAATTCAGAGCATTATGTTGCTCATCTGTAAGTTCCTCTAAATTGTCCCAAAGGTAGAACTTGGAAATAGATATGTATCTTTATTTTTATTTTTTGGCTATTATAGCACTCCCTGGTGGAGCCAATGACAAGGCATAAAATAAGTCAAGAATGTTTAAAGTCACTATCTTATAATTGGAAAAATGAAGACAGAAAATTTGTTTTCTTGTGATCTTGAGGGGAAAACAATCTCTTAACCTAATAATCCTTTCAACTGTAATGAATGTTACCAAAAATTCACTGTGATTGTGAATATATAACCATTTAGTATATAATCACTAGATACGGGTTTAACTAATTTTACTTTTAACAAATTTAAAATTTAATCAGGAAATTGCAGTCTTGGGGGTCACAGTAAGTATTCAGTAGGTAATTTGTTCATTTTTCTCTTGCCATGTCTTAGCTTTATTTATTTAATTAAGATATATGTATATATATATTCAAGAGAGTACATAAAATATGAATACACAACTTAAGAAATAATTTTAAAGTAACTACTCAAACAGCTCTCGAATCAATAGAACACTGACAACAGCCCAGAAACTCCCTTGGTAGTCCTTCCCAGTCACAGTCAGCTTCCCTACATGTACCCTCTGGCAGCTAGTATTGTCCCTTTAGTGATAACTGTGTCTTTGTTTTTATTTATAGCATTACCACCTATGTATATACCTAAACATTACAGTTTACTTTTGATGGTTTTTTTAACTTAATATAAATAGAATCATACTGTACTCTTTGGTGACTGCTTCTTTCCTTCAGCATGGTATTTATCCATGTTTGCTTATAACCATGCTTCATTCATCTCATTGATGTATAATTTACCTTTGCATTAATATACCACTACTTATTTATTCAGCCTATTGACTGTGGACAACTTGGGATGTATTCTGTTTGGGGCAATCACAGTTCTACAAGGAACATTGTATGTATCTCCTAGTACAACTAAAGTTTATGCCTAGGAATGGAAGTGCTTGGCCATAGGGTATTCACATCTTAAATTATTTCGATACTAACAAAAGTTTTTCCTGAGCAGTAGAGATGTCCTGTTTTTCCACTTTGCTCAACACTGGTGTAAACAGACCTTTTTTTTAAATTTTGCCAATCTGGTAGATGTGCAGTTATAGCTCATTAAAGTTTTACTCTGCATTTCCCTCATTACTTTGAAATTAAGCACCTTATATGTTTGTTGGCCACTCTGACTTTCTTTTTTGCAATGTGTCTTTTCAGTTCTTTTGCCCATTCTTCTGTTGTGTTGGGAAGTTTTTTTCCTCATTGATTCATAAAAGATCTTTATACATTCTGTTCTTAGTTGGCTGTATAGTTGGGAATGTTTTCTTCCACTCTGACTTGCCTTTCCCTCTCTTTATGATGTTCTTTGATAAAAAGAATTTGTTAATGGTTAAGTACTGAGAAGTATCGATTTTTTGTTTTCAGGTTAGAGTTTTTTGCAAATTGTTAAAAGTTATTCTCTCTCGAACCACAAAGTCATGAATATACTCCTCTGTGGTGTCTTCTAAAGCTTTAGTTTTGACTTTCACATTTTAAGTTTTTAATTCACAAGAAATTTTATGTATGCTAGAAAGTGCCTCACCACCATTTACTTTTTCTGTACTTTTCTGCAGTGCTGCCAAAGTCATATGTCATATCCGTATATGTATACATCTCTTTCTGGACTTTTGTTCCTCCTTGTTCTTCTGTCCCTATGTTAGTATTCTGTCTTCATCACTGTAGCTGATACATTGTTTTTGATATCTGGCAGAATAAGTCCTCCCAATTTACTGTTTTGTAAGAGTGTCTTGGTTATTTTTAGGCCTTTGTATTTTCAGTTCTCAAATTTCTAATTTCAAATATGCAAATCTTTCATTTTGCAGTTTCTAGTTGTCCTGCTGAAATTTTATCTTTTATCTATCTGAACATGAAAAGTGTTATTATTTTATAGTCTGTAATAATTCCCAAATCTGAAACTCTCCTGTGGGTCTCTTTTTATATTTTGGTTTCTACTGATTCTCATTATCTTGTATCCTTGTGTGTGTGGTTATGTGTGGTTATCTTTAATTAAATGCCAATACTATATTTGAAAACTTGATTATAGAAATATAGTTGACCCTTGAACAACACAAGTTTGAACTGCATGGATTTGCTTATATGCGGATTTTTTTCAGTAAATACATCCTACAGTATTACATGATCCATGAATGTGGAACCTTGGATACGAGGACCAACTGTAAAGTCATATACAGATTTTAAGCTATGCAGAAGAGTGATGCCTCAATTCCCATGTTGTTCAGGGATCAACTGTAATTTGATGCCCAACATGATATATTCATTTCCACAGAGTTTTTTCATATGCTCTACCAGGCACTTGGGCACTAGTAATTCAGGATCATTTTGACCCACTTACAGAGACTGAAATTTTCTGAGTCATCTATGTGACTCAGAGCTGAGCTGATTTAGTACTAGTGCCCTTACTTCCTGTTAACCCTTACTCCAAAAACCCTTCAGACTTGGTAAGTGTGAGTTGGGGTTACCAGAGTCAGAGCCCTGACCCCGTGACTGGTACTGCACTCCACCTTTGAATCTAGTCCCTTAGCTCTGCTTAGCTTCTCTGTGGCCTCTTACAAATCTGCAAAAAAAGCTCCAGGGTACAAGTGTTCACAAATGAAAAATTCATTTTCTTTATGAATTTCTATTTTTCCCCCAGATACTAGCCTAATAATTATTCATTAGTTTAGCTTTCTGATGCCATCCAGCACTTTTTCAAATATATTCTGTGCAGTTTTTCTAAATATTCTCAAGTGAGAATGTTAATCCAAATTACTCAGCCCACTTTATTTCCTAATTTTTGATTATGTGTAAAATGTAATTGGTATCTTTGTATTGCTTCTGTATCGGGAAAACTTACCTCTAATGATTCTTGTAAGTTATTTGTAAATTGTTTCGGATATTCTACATAATCGTCAAATAGGGACAGTGTTAGTCTTTTCTAAGATCTAAATTTTGGTTTTCTTAATCCTCTATTGTATGTTTGTTTTCTGTTTCATTAATTTCTGCTTTTATCAATATTATTTTCTCTATTTTGTTTGGAGTTTTTTTTTTTTACTGTTTTTGTTTCTAGCTTGAGATGGATACTTACCTCATTCATTTTCAGCTTGTCTTCCAACATAACCATTTAAAAGTTACAAATATGTCTATATTACTATAGTATAATTACATTATATTCTAATTACTGTTGTAGCCATATTCCACAAATTTTGATACATAATAATATTGAGTTAAAATATTTTACATTTTTCCATTAGGGGTGGTTCCTCTTTAACTCTTGAGTTTTTCAGGAGAGTGTTTCTTCATTTCTAGCAAAGAATTTTGATTTTAGGGTTTTTTAAATCCAATTTGATATTCTTAGCCTTTTAACTGGAACACTAAAACCATTTACATTTCATGTAATTACTAGGATTTATTTCTGCCATTTTATTTTATGGAGGTTTGTTGTCTAACCTGTTCTATGATTCTTGTTCTCTATTTTCTTACCTTTTAAAATTTGTATCTACTTCATTTTTTTATTCCATTTATGCCAATTATTAACTCAATTCTGTATTCTGGAACTTTGAAAACTAATCTCTTTCGCCATCTAGCTTCCCTTAGGTTCCACAAATAGAAGACACTAGAAGGAGACTGGAAAGCTGGAGAGAGGGAGAAGAGACTGACCATTGCCATTTGCTTCCTGATTGTCAGCATGACCTCAGCAGTGGCTTTTCTCCTAGTAGTTGTGGCTGGTTCCCAGGCTCTACCTTTTCTCTGGCACTCTGCAGGATCTCTTTTAGGCTTCCAGATTCTAATAATCCTACCCTTTTTCCTTTAATAGTTGGGACCCTTGCCAACATTTTCAGTTCTCTCACAACCTGTTTAAGCAATTCCTTATGTTAAATTCTTTCTTAATATAAATGATATGGTTTCTGTTTTCCTGAGCTATACACATTTTTTTTTCTTTACTGGTTTAGTGCCTTTTATCTTTTGGTGATTACCCTGTATTACAACATGTGTGTTCAGACTAAGTCAGACTAAAGCTAATCATTTTTACGTTTTGAAAGATTATGATTTCCAAAGATGGCCACAGCAATATTTGCAATCTGACGTGCTCTTTTGGAAGCTTATTACCCTACAACCACCATCTAGAGATAAAATGTTTTCACATACCTTGAACTCAAACAAGGATTTATGACTGCCTCAACTAATATAACAGAAAGCAGTATGTGTGACTCTGTATGACTTCTGAGGTTAAACCAGAACAGGCTGTGTGGCTTCTGCTTGGCTGGCTCTCTTGCTCTTGCTCGCTCGCTCTCCCTCATGGAAAGCTCAGCCCTGGAACCCAGACATCATGCTGTGAGGAAGCCTTAACTAAGCCCCAAGAGAGAAACTGAGGCTCCCAACTGCAGTCACTATCAAGTGTCACACATGCGAGTAAGCAAGCTCTCAGACCATTCCAGACCTCAGACCTCAGGGAGCAGAGACAAGCACTCCCTGCTGTGCCCTGCCAAGTTCCTGCCCCACAGAACCTGTGAGTATGGATTGTTTGTGCAACTAAGTATTGGGGTTACTTGTTACACAGTCGTAATGACTGCAACAACTCTCTTTGCCAACCTGCATACTCTGGTCATGTATTTTATTTCTCTTAGATATTTTAATTCTGTTGTCAAATACCTTAGTGTCTTTTAACTCTCTAAGACTTCTTTATTTTGTTTATATAGTCAGTGTTTGTATTTATGCACACACATAAATCACTTTCTTTACTCACACATATATCGGTTTCTTTACTCTTTATTCTCCTTTGTGCGTCAGGCTTACCATCTGGAATGAATTTCTTTCTATCTGAAATACTTCCTTTAGAATTTTATTTTGTGAGAGTCCACTGGTGGTATACTTGCTCATGATTTCTTTGTCTGAAAATACCTTAATTTCGCTCCCATTCCACTGAGATATTTTTGCTCAGTGGTAAAATTCTAATCCAACTTTTATTATCTTTCAACATATTGGAGATATTTTTTACTCTCTTATGACCTTCCCCTGTGGCTGTTGAGTCAGCTGTCAACTAAATACTGCGTCTTTTAAAAAATATATTTATCTGCTTTCATTTTATGCAGCGTAGTTATTATGTGTCTGGGTATGGATTTCTTTTATTAATCCTGTTTAGGATATGTTCAACTCTTTGAATCTAGATTTGTACCTTTTGTTAGTTCTGAGAAAGTCTCAGGTCTATTACTCCTTCAGCTATGTCTCTTCACCCATTCTCTTCATGATGATTCTCATCAAGCATTGTAGACTTACTCTGCCTTCCATGTTTATTACCCTTTCTTCTATAATTTTGGTTATATTTTTCAGTAGTTCTATATTTAGTTGTTCTATTTGGTTCTCTCTTTTAAAACTGCTAGATGACTTTTAATAGTTTCCTATATTCTGCAGATATTTTCTAACATCTTTTATTTAAATTGTGAGGACCATTTTATGGTCTGCCAATTTCAATTTCTCCAATTTTTGTGGCTCTTTTCCTGTTGTTTCTCCCAGCTAAATGTGTTGGTGGTCTTCTATTAGATTCTCCACCTTGGACAGGCCCTGGGCTTTGATTTCTGTCTCCCTTGTCCATTTCTTTTTACTTTATTTCAATCAACCACATTGCCTCACCATCTTTAGGAGTCCTTTTTTTTTTTCCAAACGTTCTGTGTTAAGAACTGCATTT